TTTTTCATTTAATTCTATTATTTCCTTGTTGATTTTCTGTCTGGATGTTCTGTCCATTGGTGTTAATGGTGTGTTGAGGTCCCCTACTATTATTGTATTGTTGTTGATGTCTTCTTTTAGTTCTATTAAGAGTTGCTTTACAAATTTTGGTGCTCCTGTGTTGGGTGCGTATATATTTATAAGTGTTATGTCTTCTTGGTGGAGAGTCCCTTTTATCATTATATACTGTCCCTCTTTATCTTTCTTTATCTGTTTTGCTTTGAAATCTACCTTGTCTGATATTAGTATAGCGACACCTGCTTTCTTTTGTTCATTATTAGCTTGGAGTATTGTTCTCCATCCCTTCACTCTGAGTCTGTGTTTGTCTTTGGGGCTGAGGTGTGTTTCCTGGAGGCAGCATATTGTTGGATCTTGTTCTTTGATCCATCCTGCCACTCTGTGTCTTTTGATTGGGGAGTTCAATCCATTTACATTTAGAGTGATTATTTAGACGTGGGGGCCTACCACTACCATTTTGTGTCTTGTTTTCCGGTTTTCTTCAGTTTCCTTTGTTTCTCGTCCCCATGGTTTAATCTGTTCTGATGTAGAGCTGCTACTCTCTGTTGTTGTCCTTCTACTTATCTCCTCTGCTCTTGGTTTTGTAGCCCCTTTCCTTTTTTGGATTTTTCAGGAATGAGGGTTTTCCTGAGGATTTCCTGAAGAGGAGGTTTTGTGGCAATGAACTCCCTTAATTTTTGTTTATCTGGGAAAGTTTTTATTTCTCCATCGTATTTGAAGGATATTTTCGCTGGGTAGAGAATTCTCGGCTGTAGATTTTTGTCCTTCAGATTTTTGAATATATCATTCCACTCTCTTCTAGCCTGTAAAGTTTCTGCTGAGAAATCTGCTGATAGCCTGATGGGGGTTCCTTTGTAGGTTAGTTTCTTTTGCCTGGCTGTCCTTAATATTTTCTCCTTGTCGTTGACTTTTGCTAGCTTCACTACTATATGCCGTGGAGTTGGTCTTCTTGCATTGATGAAGTTTGGAGATCTATTGGCTTCTGTCACCTGAAGATCCATCTCCCTCACCAGATTTGGGAAGTTCTCAGCCATTATTTCTTTGAATAGGCTTTCTGCCCCTTTCTCCTTCTCTTCTCCCTCTGGTATACCTATAATCCTTACATTGCATCTCCTAATTGTGTCTGATAATTCTCGGAGAGTTTCTTCATTTCTTTTTAGTCTTGCTTCTCTCTCCTCCTCTGCCTGCAACAATTCTATATTGCCATCTTCCAAATTGCTAATTCTTTCCTCCATATTATCGGCCCTACTGTTCAGAGCATCTAGATTTTTCTTAATCTCCTCTATTGTGTTCTTCATTTCCAATATTTCTGTTTGGTTCTTCTTTATCGTATCAAACTCTTTTGTGACATAGCTCCTGAACTCGTTGAGTTGTCAGTCAGAATTCTCTCTTAACTCATTGAGAATCTTAATGATGGCTGTTTTGAAGTCATCATCATTTAGGTTATATATCTCATTTTCTTTGGGATTGTTTTCTGTGTATTTGTTACTTTCTTTCTGTTCTGGAGATTTAATGTATTTTTTCATATTGCTTGATGTTGTTGATTTGTGCCTCCGCATGGAGATAGAGTTTAGTTGCTCCTTTCACTTGTTTCAGCTGCTGCGGTGGGGGGAGCAGCTGTTTATACTTCACCAACCAGGAACCCTGTCCATAGTTGCTAACTGGGCCTGGGCCCCTCTTCGTAGCCACAGTGGCCCTTTGGATTCCCTCCTCTGCCGTGGGGGCCGTCACAGGGGGGCTTCAGGCTGCAGGTGCCTACTGTTGCAGCCCACCTAGATGTGCTCTCTCCTTGGGGTCTGCAACGGTGTTATGGGCTTTTCCAGCGGCCAGGGGTGGGATCACTTATATTTGTCGCTCCGTTGCTGTCGGCACCCACCGAATCTCACTTGTCCTCTATGGGTCGCAGGAGAGCTATTGGCATCTTCTACAGTCTGTGGTTAGTACACCTAGCTATGCTGCTTTTGCCCTGGGGTCTTCCAGCCTTGTGGCTGGCAGCTGGGTGCCTTCTACTGGTGCTGTGCAGAGGCTTTCCCTAAGGCTGCTGTGAGCCTGTAGGGTTTCCCCCTAGGCTACTAAGCTGGGTCTCTGGAACTCTCTCCAGCCTCAGTCCTCTCCGAGATCTCCGGCAATCCCTAGTCTCACGGGGCGGGCAACGGCAGCTGGGGGTCGCCCCGCCCTCTGGGCTTCTCTCCGGGCCTCTCCCGGGAGCCCTGAATGCTGGGAGTGGCCCCTCTGCTAATGGCAGACAGAGAGTTTTGTCTGCTGCCTGGGCGGAACTCCGGCGCTTCCCCTCCGGGTCGCAGAACCGGGCCTTTGAAAGTTCCCCCAGCCCCGGTCCTCTCCGAGATCTCCGGCAATCCCTAGTCGCACGGGGCGGGCAGCGGCAGCTGGGAGACCTCCGTACCCTCCGTGACTCTCTCTGGGACCCTCCGGGCGCCCCGGGCACCAGGCTGGGTCTCCCCCGCCAATGGCGGGGAGAGACTCTCCCCGCGGGCTCAGGTGTGCAACTCCAAAGTTTCCCTCTGCGTTTAGGAGTAATTGCGGGGGGTTTAGGTAGGGTTCTGGTCACCTGTTTCCACCGTCGCTCCTCTGTTGTGTTCTCGCTCCTGCCCTAGATGTGTGTGGATCCTCTGGGGGCGTCCGTTGGAAGAAAGCCGCTTGCGGGTACTAGGCTGCCCATCGGGGTCGGAGAGTTTTCACCTATTTCCACATCCTCCCGGAGGAAAGTCCGTCCGCCTTCCGATGTATAGTCACGTGGGTGTCTCAGACGTCCTGAGATGCTGTCTGGATATCCTTTGTCAAGCGATAAGTGTCCAAATAATTGTAGACTCGAAGGGCGAGAGACAAAGAGGACTACTCACGGCGCCATCTTGGATCTTCTGTACATATGTATTTCTTTAGGACTATATCTGAGTCAAAGGGTGATCACATTTAAACTTTTGATGTTATTGATACTAATGGTTCTCCAAAAAGGCTGTACCCGTTTACATTCTCATAGTGGATTAGAGGACCAATTTGCTCACCTTGAGGAAACAGTCAATTAGGAAATGGGGAATTATCAAATTTAAAAATCTTTACTCAGATGTTATTTTAAACAATGAATAATCATAAATAGTGATCGGCTCTTTGTGAACATTTTTCATCAAAGTGATGTGATTTTTAATAGTATTTTACTGTTAATTGAGAGAATGCTGGATAAATCGGTTTTACTGTATCTTAAAATAATTTATAAACTTTTCTTTACCCACTTCCCCAATCTGCTATCACACTTCTCTGCTTCTCTTTGCAATAGAACCCTGAAAGTGTCATCTGTGACTCACTGTCAGTTCTTCTCCTCCCAGTCTTTCTAAAACCCATTCCATTCAGACTTTCATCTTCACAACTATTGAAACTCCATTTGTTAAGATGTCATAAATGACCTTCCCTTTCCTAAATTCAGTGGTCAGTTCTCATTTCTCATCATGCTAGCCTTTCAGCAAATTTGATACACATTCTCCACTTAGTTTCCAGGCCACCACATTCTTGGTTTTCCTCCTACTTAACTGGCTGTTCCTCACACTCTCTTGCTGATACTTTATAAGTGGACCAATAAATTATTAAGTTCCCGGGGCTCAGTCTTTGGTGCTCTTCTCTTCTGATGCTCTACTTTTCCCCTTGATATTGTCCAGCCTGATGACATTAGATACCATCTATATGTAGCTGACTTCCAATTTTTTATCTCCAGTCTAGACTTGAACTCTGGACTTATATATCCAACTGCCTATTCAACTTTCCTAATTGGATGCCTAATAGACATCTCAAACTTAATAGGTCAAAAAATGAACCTCTGCCATTTTTCCCTTAAACCAGCTCAACAACCACTCTTCTCCATATCAGTTGATGGCAACTCCAGTGGCTCATGACAAAACTGTGGAGTCATCCTTGACTCATTGCGTTCTTTCACATTCCACATCGTATCTGTCAGGGAATCTTAATGGCTTTCCCTTCAACATAAATCCAGAATCTGGTCAGTTCTCACCTTTCTCTTCTACCATCCTAGTATGAGCCACTATTACCTACCTCCAACCCCCTTGACTCCTGGATTACTGCACTGTTCTCCTGAGTGGTCTTTCCACTTCTGCCCTTGGCCTTCTATGACAGATGTAAAGCACAGCAGCCAGAGTTGTCTCTTTTAAATCCCAAGTTACTGCTCTGCTTCAGTGGCTCTCATCTCAGAATAAAACCCAAAGCCTGTCCTTTTCTACAAGGACCTACATGGTCTGGCCTCTGTCATCCCTATGACCTCATCCCCTGTCCTTCTCCCCTTGCTTCTTCTGTTCCAGTCGCACTGGCCTCCTTGTTTATGGATCACACCAATTTAGTGCCTTCACACTGGCTGTTCTCTCTGCCTGGGACACTCTTCCTTCAAATACCCACCTGGCTCCTCTGCCACCTCTTTCAAGTCTTTGCTCTGATGTCAGCTTCTCAATGATGCCTATCATGACTTTCCTACTTTAAAGCTGCAAGTACCTCCCACCTAAATACACTCACACTTCCTGTCCCCTGACTCTGCCTTATTTTTTCCTCCACGCATACTTATCACTTTTAACATACCATATAATTCACTTATCAGTTATTCTACCTTGCTATTGTCCGTCTGTCCTCAGTACAGTCCCACAAGGACAGGGATTTTTTTCCTCCGTTTCATTCACAAATGGTTCCCAGGGTCCTAGAATGTTGCCTGGCACATAGTAGGTACTAAATAAATATTTGTTGAATGAATGCATGAATGAATTTTGAGTAAGGACATGCATGTGAAAACTTTTACCTATGAATTTTATGGTTATGGTTTTAAAAAATTTATAGAGAAATGTAAGAAAATAAATTTATTGATTATAAATTTTGGGTTGTAGCTTTTCTTATATTTTAAGTTTCAGATGTGGTTTCTTTTTCTAAATTTTCAGCTTCAGTTGTGGAGGGTCAAAAGGGTATCATTCCTCGAGCTATCCAAGAGATATTTCAAAACATCTCTGAAAACCCTAGCATTGACTTTAATATAAAAGTATCCTATATAGAAGTATACAAGGAAGACCTAAGAGATCTTCTAGAATTGGAGACATCTGTGAAGGATCTTCACATCCGAGAAGATGAAAAAGGAAACACAGGTAAAGTAGCTTACTTAATTGATAGCTTTCATTAGCAAATAGATACGATTTAATTCAATTTCTGGGTATAATCCAAAGAATCTTTAAAAAGAGACAGAAGCAAAATGAATTTGTTTTTACTTTAAAATTGAATAGCTTATTAATTAACAGCATCAGTACCAGGTGAAAAGTAGAATTTCAGACTGATTGTTGGTAAGGCGAAGTTATTAAGATGTAATTCAAGATGCTTATTCCTGTAATTGTCACCCCCACTGGGCTGACCTTAAGTGAGACTGTGAAATAGGTTAAATTAGTTTTTGTAATTTTTTTTTCTCCCAGAGTTACCCCGAGATTGGGGATGGCTTCTCCCTTTGCTGTTCATTCAGGTTGATCCAGAACTCTCCTTTCGTTTTGATTTTTGTCTTAGAACACCTGTAGCTTCTTTTTCTTCTTCTTTTTTTTTAATTTAGAGAGTTAGTGTGTTTGCTTCTCCATATTGACATTTACCTGGCCTTTGTTTTGCTTCTCAAGCTCTGACTTTCTGTGCTACCAACCTGTTAATCTTGATAAATATCCATTTGTTTGGAAATGGGAAAAGGTTAGAATGGGAGGGTCAAAATGCAAATATTTTAAGAAATAATACTGTTCTGCTGTTCTGATTTAAATGGTAATATGTTCAACATAGAACATTTTGAAAACAGAAAAGTATAAGGAAGAAAGTTAAAGATCATCTTTAATCTGAGAACCCAGAAATAGCAACTTTTCTTTTTGGTGTGTTTCCATCCAGATTTCTTTTTCTATGCATATATATATATATATTCTTAATTAACTTATTTTTTTGGTGAGGAAGATTGACCCTGAGTAACATCTCTGCTGAGCTTCCTCTATTTTGTATGTGGGACACCTCCATAGCATGGCTTGATGAGTGGTGTACAGGTCCATGACTGGGATCCAGACCTCTGAACCCTGGGCCACCAAAGTGAAGTGCGTGAGCTTAACCACTATGCCACCGGACCGGCCCTCATGTAATTTTTTTTTTAAATATACTTGCAACCCCACATATAGTATTGCATCTTGTTTTTTCACTTTTTCTTTTTAAGATTTAAAAAATTTTTCCTTTTTCTCCCCAAAGTGCCCCTGATACATAGTTGTATATTTTTAGTTGTGGGTCCTGCTAGTTGTGGCATATGGGATGCCGCCTCAGCATGGCTTGACTAACAGTGCCGTGTCCGCGCCCAGGATCTGAACTGGCAAAACCCTGGGCTGCTGAAGCAGGCAGACTCGACCACTCAGCCATGGGGCTGGCCCCCTTATTTTTTCACTTAATATTTATATTGTGAGCATTTTCCCAGGTCATTTTTTCAAACTTATGATTCTTCTTGGTCATGTAGTTGTTTTCCTGAAGTATTATAATTTATTTAACTAATATTGCATTGTTGGACATTTAGGCTGTTTCCAGATTTTCCATATTATTAATAACAATGACTGTTCTTGAATGTCTTCCTCTCCTAGAAAACACATTTAGTAGAACCATACTGGAGATAAAGGATCTTGCCAGAGTGACTCTGGGGGAACTTCCTAGCAGTTAGCAAAGATGGCAGTCGTCATTCAAACAGCAGCCTGCAGGGGGCAGTAAAGCTTGCCTTCTTATAGGCTCCGTCCTGGCAGCCCTGGCATTCCTGGGTTTGAAGAAAGTAGTTTCTGTTTTATTTTTTAGAAAGAAAGCATGGTAGTTTATGGTCTTATTAGATAACTCAGTATAGTTTTATCTTTTCTGGACAAATTCAGACTGATGTTTTGATCTTCTGTATCTTATGAAATGTAATTATTGAATGCTTTTATCTTTTACTAAAAGTTACAAGAATAATACGTTTATTGTAAAATAGTGAAACAATACAAAAGTATACACTATCACTCTTGATAAACTTAATGATCAAAATATTCCATAGCTGATAATCAATTTTGCAAAAATTTTGGAAGGACATGACAAATTGTCTTAAGACAGGTTGCCATATATCTCATATAGTGTCCCACTCACAACCAAAATGCATTTGTTTGACATATTTATTTAGTTCCTCTGTGTGAAGTGGTGGTTGGTATCCAACCTGGATGCTGCACAATTATTCTCACCTTGGAAGCTTTTTAAGAAATACTGATTTTGGGGCCCTACTTCTTTTTTTTTTTTTTTTTTTTGAAAAAGATTAGCCCTGAGCTAACTACTGCCAGGCCTCCTCTTTTTGCTGAGGAAGCCTGGCCCTGAGCTAACATCCATGCCCATCTTCCTCTACTTTATACGTGGGATGCCTGCCACAGCACGGCATGCCAAGCGGTTCCATGTCCGCACCCAGGATCTGAACTGGTAAACCCTGGGCGGCCGAGAAGTGGAACATGCGAAGTTAACCGCTGCACCACTGGGCTGGCCCCATGGGCCCTGCTTTTTAGAGATTCTGATGAATTAGTCTGGGATGAGGCCTTGGCATTGGTACTTTTTTTGTATAAACCTACCATGTGATTTGCAGGTGATGTTGAGGACCACAGATAGTGGTCAGCTATAGCCTAACATTAGAGAAACTTTGTAGAAGTTGGTTCTGTGATTTACAGTTACAGTGTCATTTTGGAATTGCTGACATTCTAGCACTCTCTGTAGCACAGGTACTTTAGAACTTTAAGTTAACTAGATTGTTAAGAAAGGTGTCATGATGGAAATAATACAAGCGAAATGATTGTTTTTTCAAAGAAACAGTGACATGAAAGAATCTGATTAAAGAGGAAGCGGAGCACTGTAATTTAAGAAGAGAATAGGAGCTTTGCTGCTCTCATTCAAATCCCAAATCCACCTATTCCTTTTTTGAAATATTTTTGGATATAAACAAATACTGTGGGTGTTAAGCTTAGGTTATTTTTGCTTCTTATTCTGCCATTGAAATAGAAACATTTTTGCTTTTTTTGAATTGCCATCTCATTTGTTTTACTCTGATATTGTATCTACATTTCTGTTTTTAAAATGAATAACCAACTTTACTTATACTACTGAAATTTTCATTTATCATTGGTTATGACCCCACAATACCGAAAATTTTAAACCTAAGGATAGCTTGAATATTAACGAAACTCATAAGAAACTAATTTCTTTTAGCTAATCTAGTACTGATTAATTCTTCTGAGTTATATGTTTAATTACCCTATTACCTTTTAATTAATCTGTTAGACTCTGCAAATCAAAATACTGGTATAAAGAGTTTTTCTTTTGTCAGCCATCTTAAAGAATTGAGCATGATATGTGACTCCAAATAAACCAGATTTTTTTTTTTCCTTCTTCTCCTCAAAGCCCCCCAGTACATAGTTGTATATTCTCGTTGTGAGTGCCTCAGGTTGTGCTGTGTGGGATGCCACCTCAGTATGGTCTGATGAGCGGTGCTAGGTCCACACCCAGGATCCAAACTGGTGAAACCCTGAGCCGCTGAAGCGGAGCGCCCGAACTTAACCACTCGACCATGAGACTGGCCCCCGAATTGTTTAAAATATATATATATTTTATATCTTTTAGAATTTAAACATCAAAATGAGTGTTGTCCATTAAAATAGTTCCTTTGGGAGATTATCTGAAATTATTTAAGGATGATGCTGATGTTACTGTTATTTGAAGTGCTATTGATTTTTTTTTAAAAGGGACTGTTTTACCTGGGCATTTTAGCAAATGGTAAACTGTTCTGTGGTTAATTTAACTATACTAGATTTTGATTAAAACTTGTTTTAAAAACTTGCTATTGCTATTTTAAGTGATTGTTGGGGCCAAGGAGTGCCAGGTGGAGAGTGCTGATGAAGTGATCAGTCTCCTGGAAATGGGGAATGCGGCCAGGCATACCGGTACCACTCAAATGAACGAGCATTCCAGTAGATCACATGCAATTTTTACAATCAGCATTTGTCAAGTGGAGAAAAATGTAGAGGCAACTGAAGATGGATCGTGCTATTCCCGTCGGCATATTGTCTCAAAGTTCCACTTTGTGGATTTGGCTGGATCAGAAAGAGTAACCAAAACAGGGAATACTGGTGAACGGTTCAAAGAATCCATTCAAATCAATAGTGGGTTGCTGGCTTTAGGAAATGTAATAAGTGCTCTTGGGGACCCGCGCAGGAAGAGTTCACATATTCCATATAGGGATGCTAAAATTACCCGGCTTCTGAAAGATTCTCTGGGGGGCAGTGCCAAGACTGTCATGATCGCTTGTGTCAGCCCATCCTCCTCGGATTTTGACGAGTCCTTAAATTCTCTCAAATATGCCAACAGAGCACGCAACATTAGAAACAAACCCACCTTAAACTTCAGCCCAGAGTCAGACCGAATGGACGAAATGGAATTTGAGATTAAGTTGCTTCGAGAAGCTTTGCAAAGCCAGCAGGCTAGTATCAGCCAAAGCAGCCAGATCCCTCGAGAGGAGACTCCTGATAAAAATAGGATCCATTCTCTTGAGGAGCAAGTAGCTCAGCTACAAGGAGAATGTCTGGGGTACCAAAATTATATAGAGGAAGCCTTTACATTCCTAGTGGACTTAAAAGATGCTGTGAGACTAAACCAAAAGCAGCAACACAAACTACAGGAGTGGTTTAACATGACCCAGGACGTCAGGAAGGCAATTCTCACCTCCTTCAGAGGAAACCAAGGCAATGGAAACCTGGAAGAGGAACCACAGCATATTACAATTCTCCAGCTGAAGCGAGAGCTTAAGAAATGCCAGGTACTTACTCACTACTTTTATAAGTAACTTGCTTAAGGACTAAATTTATTTGGGTGAGTGTCATTTTGGAATTTCAGAAGTTTTTTTAAAAGGATTATATGTAAAATCTCATTTGCCTTTGCTCTGCTTCTTTCTCCTTTCTCTTTCTATTGCTTTCTCATAATTTATAACTTTCTTGGCTCCTCCTCCTTTCTCCTTTAGGTAAAATATATTTTAATTTGTTATATTCATTAAATAGAATTTTGTGGACCTTGTCATTAGAGGATGAAAAGAAATGCAATTTCAGAAACAAAACTAAGTTATACTTTAATGAGTTTTTATCCTTCTATGGGTCAGTGGTTCTTGAAAGAAAAAAATACTTCATCCTTTGAGTTTGGAGTATTGATTTTTTAAACAAACAAATCATCATATGTGATAATATTTAAGTGATGTAGATATGTACATGTATACATATTGCATATCTGTATATTGAGTTCAGAATTACATTTCCCCACTTTTCATTCAAAAAATATTTATTGAGTGAAGATTACGTGTCATGGGGGAAATAGTGGAGCATAAGACATACCTAGTTCTGCTTATGTGGAGTTTGCAATCTGGTGGGCAAATGGATGTTCTCCCAGTTTTTTAAAATAGGGAAACATAGTTAAAAAAGAGCTGCCTAGTTAGAAATCTTTCCTCAATACCTTTTAATATGTATTAGAAAGAATCCAGTTGTATTATTCTCTATTACAGCATTTCTCGAACTTTTTGTTCACAAAGTTCCTTTACACTCTTAAAATCAAGGTCCCCCATTGTTTCTATTGATATTTACCATATTAGAATTAAAACAAGAAATCTAAACTATTAATTCATTCAAAACTAACATAATAACTCAATTATATATTAACATAAAGAACATTTTTTTGTGAATGAAAAAACATTTTCCACAACAAAAAAAATTACACAAGAGTGGAATTGTTTACATTTTTGCAAATCTCTTTCAATGTCTGGCTTGATAGAACGTAGACAGATTTTCATATCTACTTCAGCATTCAATTTGTTGCAATATGTTGTTTTAGTTGAAGTATATAAAGAAAATCCAGCCTCATATAGATTTGTAGTTGGAAGGGAGGAATATTTTAATGACTTTCAGATAAGTGTAGATATTCTTCCTTGATATTACATCAAAACTCAACAAGCAGGGACTGGCCCTGTGGCCGAGTGGTTAAGTTCGGGCGCTCCGCTGCAGGCGGCCCAGTGTTTCGTTGGTTTGAATCCTGGGCTCGGACATGGCGCTGCTCGTCAAACCACCCTGAGGCAGCGTCCCACATGCCACAACTAGAAGGACCCACAATGAAGAATATACAACTATGTACCGGGGGGCTTTGGGGAGAAAAAGGAAAAAAAAATAAAAATCTTTAAAAAGAAAACTCAACAAGCAGAAATTTCCTAAAGGTTATTTGCAATGTGAGATTTGAAACGATTTTGTTAGATTAAGATCTATACATTAAAATACACTGGTCTTTGTCTTGTACTTTGAATGGATCTCTTATCCACACATGATTTTGAATCATGCACTGGGCATTTGGGAAACATTTGTTTACTAAGTTATGCAGATCTTCCAAATTTTGACACATTTCATTATACAATATAAAAAAATCATTTTCATTAATATCACCACTGATCTCTCCAGCAAAGTCTTTAAGTATTGGAAGCTGTCATGCCCTTAGTAGCAGAAATGTTTTCCAAAATTCCAAAATTTTTGTACAAAACTCAAATTTTATAATTTGCAACAATTACCGTTAATTGTTTTCCTTGAAATGACAATTCTTGTTTTCGAGAAAATGTCTGCCACATACCCAAGTGTGAATAACCATATCTGTCAGTCATTCTTTAGAGTAGAAATAGTGCCCTATGAAAAAAGTGGCTAGTTCAGCTTGCAACCCAAACAATTACACAAGACTTTTCCCCCACAGACAACTATTGCCCTTCAGTATGCAGCAGAACTACTTTATGCATACCTCCCACTTTGTCACATAGAATACTAAAAAAAGTAAAGTGTTGAGATTTAATAAAATAATTTTTATTGCTTTATCAAGATATTCTTTTTTTTTTGCTGAGAAGATTCACCCTGATCTAACATCTGTTGCCAGTCTTCCTCTTGTTGTATGTGAGCTGCCACCACAGCATGGCCACTGGCACACGAGTGCTGTATGTCCGTGCCCAGAACCCAAACCTGGGCTGCTAAAGTGGAGTGCACCAAACTTAACCACTAGGCCACCAGGGCTGGCCCTATCAAGATAGTCTTAAGTAAAGTTGGCATCTGTTTGCTTTTAATGTGAGTGCACAGCAGTGAAGAGTACAGTGATTACTAGTAGAGTTTGGTGACTCTTCCTGTATTTGTGCTGGGAGCCGGCAGTTTTACCCACTATTGCTTTTGCACCATCAGTGCAAATGTCAACATGGTGAAAAAGGTAAATAGCATCTTAGTATTATTAGGAAAATAGTTTTGACCTCAAGAACACTCTGAAAGGATCTGAGAGACATGCCAAAAGGGTCTCTGTTGAGCACACTATGCTGAGCAGGATGAGAATTCCTGCTCTACTACAAAGTTTTTGATATTTAACTATAGGCATTTAAAGTAATACTTTCTAAATCACGGATTTTTTTTTTAAAGGCTGTAACTCTGCCCTGCTTTCTTCCTAGTCAGCGCAGGCCTGGCCCTTCCTCATTGGTATAAGAAACTGGTGTACGGGTTACTGAAGGGTTGAACTTTGGGACACATGTAGGAGTTGGTGACAGGAAATGTTTTTCCTTCATGCTTCTAAGGTGGCTGAAATTGGAAGCCCACAAAACCCACCGCTTGAGGGTGGGGTGGTTGGTAACTTTTTCTCTCTGTTTGTTGGAAACTCTAAATTTAAACTTGTCCAGATTATGATTTCCCAAAGATCTTAGCAGTCTTGATGAGAAGAGGCACTGTGATCAGATTATTTTGGGGAATGCTAGATTGGGAAAAGCATACAGATTTCCTAATCCCAAACCTTCTCAGAACTTTGAAAGTGCTGATGTCTATCACGAATCTCAAAGTGAGAGACATAATATTCAGTGTTTCCCAGTTTTAAAAATGGGTTCTCTGTTTTTGATCTGCAGTCTTGCAGGACTAGTCTTTGGATACCACTAAACAGCAAATGGAGAAATGATTGGTGTCATTCCTCACCCTGTATATCTCTTTGAAAAATTGTCTTAAACTTCCTTTTCTGTTCTTTTTTTTCTGTGAGAGACAGAGTAACATAGTAGTTAAGAACATGGATACCAAACTGCTGAGGTTTGAATCCCAGCTCCTCTGCTTACTAGTTCTATGACCTGGGGTGAAGGCTTAACCGCTCAGTGCTTCAATTTCCCCATTTGTAAAATGGAGACAATAATAATAATCACTTTGTAGGGTTGTTGTGAAGATTATTACAGCATTAGTTCCCATAAAGTGATGAGAAGGATGCCTGGCGTGTAGTAAGGCTCAATAAATGTCAACTTGTTGTTATCTCTTCTCATTTATTTTTCACTGGCCTTTGCCTGTGGACTCAGTCATCGTATGTAGGGCCACATGTCAGGGCTTACTGTGAAGGCAGCTTGATAAACTCGTCTGCCTGAGGAGACAGCGGTCTGTTTGGGGAGAGGCACCTTCTCTTTGCTCAGCCCTGCTTCCTTGAGCCTGTTAGGGAAGCAGATAAGTACTTTAAAAAAAATTCCTAGCTAAGATGAGATCGTGGGCATCTCACAGGTAGAAGAGTAGCTGGATTGTTGTTAGGGAAGTAAGTGTCATTTTAAAGTTACCATCTTCTCTTTTTTAGACGCTGTCACATAGTGTTGTAACCTTGATTTTTGCCATTGGTCAATTATTGGAGCACTCCATCCCCTCATCAGTACTTCTTAAGGAAGTTTGTTGCTTTTTTATTCCAAATTTTGAACACAAGAACAGTACATGAACATGAATATATTCAACAGTTAAACACTTTTAAATAATAGTAAACAATAAAAATGTAGTTTATAAAGCGTATGTAAAAATCTTTAAAGGGTGTGGCAAAATCAGGGTTGGCCTCAGTCCATGGGTTACCATTGCAGGGGCCCATCCATCTCCATGCCACTGCCTGAGTTGTCGCACACATACTCTGTTTTTGCAAATTAAATCTTATTTGTAAAGTGAACACTGTGTAAATTACCTACTCTGTCTTGCCTTTTCCTGTGGCTTAGTGGAAAGAGTATAGACTTTGGATCGAGGTAGGCCCTGGGGTTGAATGTCAGAGTTTACTTAATGCCCCATATCATCTTGGGAAGAGGTTTTAATCTCACTGAGCTTTAGTTTCTTCATGAAAAAGGAATCATAGCTATTCAGTGAGATATTTTTAAAATTCCAAGTCACCATCTAGCATAACGTAGACCCTTGACAAATACTAATTTCCTTTTTGTTTATTTAATTTAAAAATTATCTTAAAAGTATTATTTGCATATCCCAAGTCTATTTTAAAACACGAATAATTTACTAGAAACTAAGGAAACTATTTGTTTAACCATACTTTTAGACATCTTCAAAATATCTCTCTTAATAGTAAAAGTGTACAAAAGTAGCAAATGTTCTTTCTTTTTTTGAGGAAGATTAGCCCTGAGCTAACTGCTGCCTAATCCTCCTCTTTTTGCTGAGGAAGCCTGGCCCTGAGCTAACATCGGTGCCCACCTTCTTCTACTTTATATGTGGGACGCCTACTACAGCATGGTGTGCCAAGCGGTGCCACGTCCACACCCGGATCCAAACCGGTGAACCCTGGGCCGCCGAAGCGGAATATGCGCACTTAACTACTGCGCCACTGGGCCAGCCCCGCAAACACTCTTTATTTAAACATCCAAATTCATTCTTATACTCTAAGGTCAGTTTGGAAAATGTAACCTCTTTGATTTTTAAAAACCCACATTAAAATCTTATGGCAATTCTAGCAAACTTGTAAAAATCCTACTGAATGTGCTCTAGAACCTAAATAACTGGACTTCATTTTAAAATGTAGGAAATAAAAATCAAGAAAATCTTCCTGTCTTTATGATAGTTAATTCTTATGTTATAGCAATGATAGGTCCTCTCAAGTGTTTCTGCCTTTCTTATAAAGAAACCAGAAAAAATGGTGAAAAGGAACAGGATAAGAACAATTTTAAGAGACATCGTCAAGCTGTCATTAAATAACTGTTTTTGTGGTATTATGTGGGTTCTCCAGAGTGTTTTCCGTGGTGAATCTCTCCTGTGCTTTCTTTCCCTCCTCCCAGTGTGCTCTCGCTGCTGATGAAGTAGTATTTAATCAGAAGGAGCTGGAGGTGAAGGAACTAAAGAATCAGGTGCAAATGATGGTACAGGAAAACAAAGGACATGTTGTATCTTTGAAAGAAGCGCAAAAAGTGAATAGATTGCAGGTAGAGTTTCTTAAATCTAGCTCTGTAGATTTAGTTGAAGTAGTACCTAACTAAACAGAATAGCATTTTAAATGATAAATGGGAATGTTTACAGAAATAAGATTAGTTGAAGAGTTCTGAACACAGGCATCTAAAATTTTGAGTTATTATAGTTTTTCCCCTAAGTCAGTATAAAGGGAAAATGTGGTATTGTTAGCCTGACTTATATTTCACAAGTATAAAGATAATACCCAGGAACTTAATTTGCAGATCATGTTATGGTTATCTTTTTTTTTCGGTGAGAAAGATTGGCCCTGAGCTAATCTCTCTTGGCAGTCTTCCTCTTTTTGCTTGAGGAAGATTGTCTCTGAGCTAACATCCATGCCAATCTTCCTCCATTTTTGTACGTGGGACACAACCAGAGCCTGGCTTGATGAGCGGTGTGTATGTCTGTGCCCGGGATCTCAACCCATGAGCCCTGGGTCACCAAAGTGGAACACGTGATCTTAACCACTATGCCGTTGCGTTGGCCCCTATGGTTATCTTTTCTCCATACTTTTCCTTCCTCTTGTTTGCCAGGGTAGTAGGCACTGTGATATTGTTGAGTTGGAAGGTAAACATATAATTTAAACATTTTAATTTATTAGTTTATCCTTCTTTACTCCTTCAGTGATTTGCTCTTTAACTTTGATTAAATCTTTCAAATTCTCTATCTTAGCGTTCCTGTTATTAACATGGATATGCCTATGGTGTAACAGGGTATGTCCCTGAATAGTGTACTCCCTGACTATGAAAGCCCCTCACCTCCCGAAACAGTTAATTTCATTGAAAGCCTTTAGCTTCCTATCAGTGAGGAACTAATGCCCTGAGAAATAATTTGATCCAGTACAAATTACATTTTGATTTTCACGTTATTTATTTTTGTTTTCTTTAACTCGTCGAATTCTATAGTAATTTTAACATATAAAACATATGCAAAACAAAATGTATTGTTCAGTGATTCATCACAAAGACAACAGCCGGGTAACCACCACGATGTCAGGAAATAGCAAACTGCCAGCCCCTTGGAAGTCCTTAGTCCCTCCTCAGAGAGAGCTGCTCTCCTTACTGTCACATAATCATTTCCTTGCTTTGCTTTGTGGTTTTACTAATGTGTATCCCTGAACACTACAGTTTAGTTTTTGGAATCTTTATAAGTTTCACCATTCAGTATATATTCTTTAGTTGCTTTTTGTTTGCTTTTATTGAACATTTTGTTTGTTCTGATTCATCCATGTTGTTGTGTGTAACTAGCTTGTTTAGTTTTATAGGTATATAGGATTTCATTGTATGAATATACCACAATTTATTTTTCTGTTCTGTTGATGGACATTTTCTTTTCTATGAATTTTCTGATACATGTCTCTTTGTGCACACATATGCGTGCACACACACACTCAGACATTTCTTTTGGATTTGTGCTTAGTAGTTGAATTGCTAGGTCATAGGGCACGTAAATCTTTAGCTTTAGTAAATAACACCAAACTCTTTTCCAATTTACTCTTACACCAGCACTATATAAGCATTCCCACTGCTTCACGTGCTTGCCAATGCTTGTTAGTGTTAATTTTTAAAACTTAGACAATCTGGTAGGTATGAGTGATATTTTATTGTGATTTTACTTTGCATTTCCCTGATGACTAGTAAAGTTGAACACTTTTTCATGATTTTTGGCTATTTGGATATCTTTTGTGAAAGACTCATTCAAGTCTCTCACTTATTTTTCTATTGGACTGTGTCTTTTGAATTATTTGCAGACGTTTGTTATGTATTCCAGGTATGATCTCTTTGTCAGTGACATGATTCCAAATATTTTTTCCCTTTCTTTGGCTTGCTTTTTACTCTCAATGATGTCTTTTGATGAAAAGATGTATTGTAAATCAAATTCAACTATCTTTTTATTATGGTTAATGATATTTGTGATCTGTTTAACAAGCCTTTCCTTTTCCCAATCGTTTCCTTTGAGGATACTTTCTATATTATTTTCTAGGAGCTTTGTTTTGCCTTTTGACTTTGGCTCTCCAGTTCTCCTGGAATTGATTTTTGTGTATAGAGTAAAGTAAAGGTCAAATTTCATTTTTTTTCCATATAGATAGCATTTGTCCCAGCATAATTTATTGAAAAGACCATCCTTTTACTACTGTTCTGAGTGCTGTCTTTGTCGTAAGTCAGGGTTCATTTGTGCATGAATCTATTGTCTATTTCCGGGACTTCTGTTGTGTCCTATTGTTTTGTCTGTCCTTGAGCCCATATCACATTTCTTATTTATGGTAGGTTTATAATAAGTCTAGACATTTGGTAGAGCAAGGCCTTCTGTTCTCCTCTTCCCCAAGAATATCTTTGTTGTTTCATATAAACTTTAGAATCAGCTTGTCAAGGGCCACAAAAAAAATACTTTTTGTGATTTTGGTTGGGATTCTGTTAAATCTATAATCCATTTGGAAAGAATCAACGTCTTTTGATTATAAGTCTTCTAATCCGTAAATGTGGCATATTTCTCCATTTACTTAGGTTTCCTTTGGTTTTTCTCAATGGTTTTGTGAGTGTGTAGAAGTATTGCACATCTTTTGTTAGGTTCATTCCTAGGTACTTGATTTTTTTGTGTGACTGTAAATGGAATCTTTTTAAAAATTTTGTTTTCTTAATTGTTTGCTGGTATATGTAACTGTACTGATTTTTTTTTCTAAAGATTGGCACCTGAGCTAACAACTGTTGCCAATCTTTTTTTTTTCCTGCTTTTTCTCCCCAAATTCCCCCAGTACATAGTTGTATATTTTTTAGTTGTGGGTCCTTCTAGTTGTTGTGTACTGATTTTTGTATATTGATATCTTATACCCAGCAGCTTGACTAAATTCACTTTTAAATTCTAATATTTTGTGTAAATTCTTTTGGATTTTCATTTACAATTGTGTCATCTGCAAATGATGACAGTTTTATTGCTTCCTTTATAATCCTTGTATCTTCTATTTCTTTTTCTTATCTTTCTTCATTGGCTGGGATCTTCAATAAAATGTTGAATACAGTGGTGATAGCAAGTGTCCTTCTCTTGTGTCCAATCATAGAGGAAAAGCTTTCAACATTTCACTAAGTGTCATGTTTGCTGTAGGTATTTTTTTATTTCCCTTTATCAAACCAAGGAAGATTTCTTTGTTGAGAATTTTTATTATGAATGGTTATTGAATTTTATCAAATGACCTTTCTTTACATCATTTTTCTCTTTTATTCTGTTGATGTTATAAATTATATTGATTTTTCTAATTTTAAACCAATCTTGTATTCCTGGAATAAACCTTTTTTTTGTCATGATGTATTGTGTGTCAGGGGTCCCCAAGACCACCCTCAAGTTGGATGATGCACTAGGAAGATTCAGCATATAGTTGTGCTCATGGCTAAGATTTATTACAGTGAAAGAGCAATGGTCAGCAAAGGGAAGAGGCACATAGAGTGAAATCTGGAGAACTCGGGCGCAAGCTTCCAAGAGTTATTGCCCATTGGAGTTACACAGATGTGCTTAATTCCTCTAGCAATGCTTGTAACAACACAGGTGAAATGTTGTCTACCAAGGAAACTCAGTAAAGACTCAGTGCTTAGAGTTTTTATTGAGGGCTAGTCATAAGGCGCTCTCTGTTCAACATATACCAAAATTCCACACTACCAGAAGGAAAGCAGGTGTTCAGCATAAACCACAATGTCTGCACAGTTTGAGCACAGTGAGCCACTCTTATCAGTTAGGGTGTTGGAACCCTTTCACAATCCAAGTTCCCAGATACCAGCCAATGGACACCTTATAAGCAGTTCTTTCAAAGAATAGGAGTCAGGTCTGCTATGTTAACTCTTTTCTACAAAGGTCCTTGATTTGGTTTGCTATTATTTTGTTTAGGATTTTAGCATCTATATTCACATGTGAGATTGGCCTATATTTTCCTTTCTCAGATAATGTAACAAGTTATGTTAGTCTCATAATACAGGTTAGGTAGTGTTCCCTCTTTTTCTGTACTTTGGAAGAATGTGTGAAAAATTAGTGTTATTTCTTATATGTTTGGTTGAATTCACCTATAAAGTATTTGAGACTGTAATGTTTCTTTGTGAGCACGTTTTGATTATGAATTCAATCATATTTTCTTTTTGCCCTCGTTTTCATAAGGTTTATTTTTCCAAGAATCTGACCACTGTATAGCTAAGTTTTCATATATATTGGCATAAGTTTATGATAGTCTCTTATCTCTTTAATGTCTTTGGATATATAGTGATATCTCCTTTTTCATTCCTGGTCATTTGTGCCTTCTCTTTCTTTCTTTGATCAACTTCACTAGGGGGTTATCAATTTTATTAGTCTCATCAAAGAGGCATTTCTTGACTTTGTTGATCTTCTCTAGAATATGTTTGTATACTATTTCATTAATTTCTGCCCTATTTAATTTTTTTCTGCTTTTTTGGGGAGAGCAATCTTATGCTGTCTTTCTAAGTTCTTTAGATGGATGCTCAGTTCATTGATTTTTAGCCTTTCTTCTTTTAGAATATATGCCTTTAAAATTATGTATTTCCTCGTAAGCTTATCTTTACCTGAATTCTACATTCAGCTCAAAATATTTTCTTTTTTTATTATGACTTTCTTTCTTTGACCTATGGGTTATATAGTTGTTTTATTTCTAACACATGGAGGATTTCTTTTTATCAATTTTTAGCTTAATTGCATTGTGGTCCATAGGATTTCAGTCCTTTGAATGTGTTGAAACTTGCCTTATGGGTCAGCATAAGACCAGTTTTTGTAGATATTACAGATGGGCTTGAAAAGAATATGTATTCTGCATTCATTGGGTGCTGTTAATTCTGTTACTCATATCTTTATTTTTACTCACCTTTTTGAGTCTTTTTTTTTTTTTTTTAAAGTTTGGCACCTGAACTAACAACTGTGGCCAATCTCTTTTTTTTGTTTTTCCTGCTTTTTCTCCCCAAATCCCCCCAGTACATAGTTGTATATCCTCGCTGTGCGTCCTTCTACTTGTGGCATGTGGGTTGCTGCCTCAGCATGGCCTGACAAGCGGTGCCATGTCAGCGCCCAGGATCTGAACTGGAGAAACTCTGGGCTGCCAAAGCGGAGTGCACAAACTTAACCACTAGGCCACGGGGCCAGCCCTCTGAGTTTTTTTTCTTATATCAGTAATTTAGAGTGATGTTAAAATTTTGGATTTGTCTTACTTCTCCATGAAGTACGGACAATTTTTGCATTATATATATTGAAACCAATTATTAAGTACATAGAAATGTAGAATTGTTACATCATCCTGGTGAATTGACCTTTTTATCATTTTTACTTTTTTTCGTCTCTTCTAATGTTTTTTGCTTTAAAGTTTACTTTGATATTCATATAGCCATGTCAGCTTTCTTTTGATTAATAATTACATGGTGTCTCTCTTTCCATCTTATTTTTAATCTTTCTGTGTCTATTTTAGTTGTATTTCTTGTAAGCAGCAGGTTAGATAATTTTACAGTCCTCTCTGACAGTCTTATCTTTTTATCTGAATTGCTTCGTTTATTGTTATGAATTATGATTATGAATTTAACATAATTGCTATTATACTTCAGTTATAATCCCACCATTGTGCTTTTTTACTTATCCTATGTGCTCTTATGTTCCTTTATCTCTCTTTTCTTACCTTCTTTTGGATAATTTTGTATTTTTTCTTTTTCTTTTTTTACGTCATTAGCTTAGAAGTTGTACTTTTGCTCTCCTTTTTAGTGGTTATTTCAGAGAGTATACCATGCCCCCATGACTTAATACAGTCTAATATTAATTGGTATTTTTACTCTTTTCCCAGACAATATAAGGACTTCATTTAACAACCCACCCCCAACTTATATATCATTGGTTTTGTATATTTTAATTATTTGAACACTTTTTAATAAGGTTTTTATAGCTCAGCATTAACACAGTGAAACTTCAGGGTTTGATTTTTTTCCTATTTAAACATTGTAGTACATGTGAGTGTTAAGACGAATGACAATTTCTTGCGTACATAATTTTGTTGTTGTAAAACAAAGATTGATGTTAGAGCTTTCTGAATTAGACATACTTCAAAAATTATCTTTAGAGGATATGTAAAAACCTAAACCCCACGTGCACACACACACACTCTCTCTCTCTCTCACTCTCCTGATGTACTATTTGTTCTGCCTTTGATTTCCAGGTTCTCCTTTCTCCCAGGACTATCAGTTGCCTATCTTCTCTCTCTTTGTGTTTTTGGCTTTCTTTTTCACTGAGTAAAGGCTTTCATTTCACTGCACCTGTTACCACTTTCTGTCTCCTTTGTTGCTGCCTCTGCTGTTTGCAGTTCTTTCTCCTCTTTTCAACTTTCCTGTCTCTTGTTGCTTCTTGGATTTCACTCAGAAAGTCCAAACTTTTGTAAAGATCAGCTAATCAGAGTGTTTCAGGTTAGCAAACCAACCAATCACAGTGTGTGGGGCATTTTCTTTGGGTATTTAACTCTTTAGGCTGTGTTTATTGCTGCTTACTATTCAAAAGTTTTTACCAGTCAGAACAATCCTAGATACTTGTGAACACCAGAAGACTAGTCTTTGGATAAATGAGGTTTTACTGTACTGTTAAGGTAGTTGTGATTTTGGTCAAGGTACTATTTATTGTTAATCATTATCTACACATGTACTGAGGTTCTCTATTTTTAAAATTCTCATCTCTCTTCTACAAAGAATGAAAAAATAATAGAACAACAACTTCTTGTGGATCAACTGAGTGAAGAACTAACAAAACTTAACCTATCAATGACTTCTTCGGCTAAGGAAACTTGTGGAGATGGGCCAGATGCCAGGATATGTGAAGAGAGACCATATACTGCACCATTTGATACTCGTTTGGGGCATTGTATTTATATCCCAGCAAGATCAGATTCCAGGAAGGTAAAGTCTAAACATTAACCTCTTTCTTATTTTGAGATTTTAAAAATATGATATATAATATCATAGTTTGTTTGTACAGTCTCAGCAGGATTTTTTCTGTTTGGTTTCATAGACTTTTGTGATTAGTCTTTGTTTTAATTATGTTTCTTTTTTTTGGCTGAGAAAGATTCACCATGAGCTAACACCCATGCCAGTCTTCCTCTATTTTTGAATATTTGGGCCTCCAGAACAGCATGGCTGCTAAGAGAGTGGTGTAGGTCCACACCAGGGAACCGAAGCTGGGCCGCCGAAGTGGAGAGTGCTGAAATTAACCACTAGGCCACTGGGGCTGGCCCTATGTTTCTTTTTAATAAAAAATTCATAAACAGGAAAATGTATAGTTATATTTGGAAGGAATAGTTGAAGATAATGTCTACATTCATCAAGAAGAAAAAGGTATTCTCTGCCATCATATTTTCCAACATGACTAAGATTGATATCTCTATGAATTTTTTTCTTTCTTTAACCATACCAAGTTGAGATGAGGTGGAGAGTATTTATTTCAACTCATTTGGTCTGTCTTGTTATTTTCAAAATTATATTTATGTATTATTCAGTCTTGCCAAGCTGACATAATCAAGACTGTATAAAGATTAGTATGAGGTTTTGTTTTAATATTTATTTATTTATAAATATGTGTGTGTGTATGGGTAAATATATGCACAGAAATTTCTCTTGAAAAATCATCAAGGAATCTCTGCTATGGAAAAGACTAATTATCAGATTTATGAATTTTGGTTTCTGTTTATTAATTTTGTGAAGAGAAACGATTTGTTTGAGATCTTTGTGGTGGTTACAGTCCAAGGGATAAGAAATATGAGAGACATCATAGACTTTGCAATCAGGCAGGCTGGAGTGTGAACACCAGCTCTGTTGTTTAGGCCTGGATGTATGACTAAACCTCTGTGAGCTTCAGGTTCCTTATCTGTCAGAATGGGAGAAACATTGTGGTGTGTAGAGGATTTGCATGAGCCGGTGACTCTGAAATTGCCGGGCACACTGCGTCCTGAACACACGTCTATGGATGCCACGTCCCAGGCTCAGTGCCTCAGAGTGAGATGGATGCTCCCTCCCTCTGTGGTTTTCAATTTTGAGTGGCTGGATTCTAAAATTTAAACCATTGTTATCATTAATTTCAGTTTTACTTTGTAGAATTATTGGCATTTTCTTTAGGTGGTTGAGTACTTAGTAAATTTTCGTAGAACATTTGGGAAGAGAGATAAATTCTTCACAGGATTCAAATTTGGTATCTATTAATTCAACTTAGTAATTATGTTATATATCAAGTCTTCTATATTTAAGGTTTTTTTACTATTGGCTAGTAATGTGAAAGAATTTCCTGTTTCTGTCCATTCTTTTAGTTTAAAAAATAACATTTGGCTTTTTTCCTGATTACGAAAGTTATACATATTTATTCTCTCTCTCAGTCTCTGTTTCTCGTTTTTACTAGGCACTCACACACACACATATATACATACATTCTTTGAGGAGATAGAGCTACGTGGGCTCTTGAGAAGGGTTAGGCCCTTCTGTTCTTATCTCTAGTTGTTTGATTAGACTTGAAACACACGTGACTGGAATAAAGACTTCCATGCTTATTGTTCCAACTTAGCAGATTCTTAGTTTTGTTTCATTCTTAAAATTTTCCTTCTACCCCAAAAGAACCCTGCTAGCCACTAAAAGAAGGGAAAACGGAAGAAGATGCAAAAGTCATATGCTCAGCAGTTTGGAGGGTTCTCTTGCTCCTACTGTGTGTCCAGGAATCCTGGCCACCTCCCTTGCTTGGCCTGGGTACTGCAGCAGACATGAAAAGGCAGGCTTGCATGGGAGGACTCAGCCTGACAAGCTGTGTTTCAGTCCTATTTGCTGTTCCATTGTGCTAAGAGTGAGGGGAAGGTTTCATACTGAATACCAAAACTAGCTAAATTAAACCAAAGAGGACATCTGCAATACCATTTCATTTTCTCCTGGATTTCTGTCTCCTTGGCAGAAGTCTAGCTAAGGTTTTCCAGCTCTAATATTTTCTTTTAGAGTTTAGCTCTAATATTTTCTTGAGGTAAAAATAGTCTGAGAAGAGAATATTTCCTCAACTTAGAATACTTTCAAAGGAAAAGGGGGGAAAATGGCTTAATCAGTTTTTAAGTTAATTACAGAAAGCGATTTTATTTCTTACATACCGAGGGAAAGAGTGAAAAGATCTTATTTATTTTAAAAGTATTATTTATGTTATATTTATACATACACTTTCATTACTAGCTTTTCTCACTTAATATATCATGAACATTTGATAGTCATCAAATATTCTTCTATAATATGTCATTTTTAATGGCTGAATAGTATTTATAGTAAGGGCATACCATTGTGTACTTTTTTCTGTTGTTGCACATTTGTTTTCAACTATCTTTTAATCTGAAAAGTTAAACACCAAAATGGAATTACAGGACATATCCACTTCTGCAGAAATGCTAAAGAAATCACCCCTCACAGCTAGATAGTGTACAGGTAAATGAAAGGAAAAGTATTAGTATTACTTACCAAATTAATAGGACAAAAGAAGAAATTCATTTGTCTCAATAGATATCAAAAACTCATCTGATAAAATGCAGAATCGAATCTTGATTTAAAGTTAAAGAAAAAAATCTAGCTTTTTTTTTCTGCTTTCTTAACATGGTAAATATCAATATAATTAAAGCCAAGAGTCATGTTATACATACTAAAAAGGCACTTTGGAAAGAAAAAAATTCAAGGTGGTCCCAGTCATCACTTAAGTTTACTATAATACTGTAAATGCTGATGAAAATCTACCATATTTCATTGATTATAAGACTCACTTTTTTTTATGTTTTATCATCTTTAATGGAAGGATACGTTTTACAATTGACAACATGTCATAATTTGACAGCTTTTTTTCTTTCTTGGTGTAAAAATGATGGTGTGTCTTACAGTTGATGGCATTTTAGATTTGATGTAATATGGTATTATGAAAAGGAAATAAAAGCAATAGGTAAATAATGTTACTTTCAGTACTTGACATAATGTGTACTAAGAAAACCAACCAAAATATTCTTCAGAAGATTTTAAAAAATATCCCTTAAGTCTCTGAATTCACAAAAGTGGAAATATTTGTAAAATATTTTTGCTTTTTCCTGAATGAATTACATTTTTGTTGAGTCACAAAATTTCTTTGCATAATCCCACACTGTAGGTTAACAGCTTTTTCCGTTTTCACTAGTTTTTATCTTTCACACAAAGGCCATTTTTTTCTCACAAAAGAATTATTTTTTATTTTTAAGTACCTCTTTGCATGCATAGTTGCTTGTGGTGAAGAGCGAACACAACAGAACACAAGAGTTGTGTCTGCTGAGCTTTGACCAGGTTCCTTTGCTAGCTAGGCAACTCATTCCAGCAGAATGCACCAGCTTCACAGTAGCAAGGTGGCATATTACATCTCATGACCTTTTGCAGAACTCTCAGTTGAAACTACAAAGTTAAATACGTGAAAGCCACAATCTATGGTGAATGAGTTAAGCAAAACTGCAGCACATCTGATGAAACAAAATCAAATGCATCACTAGAGAGAGGAGGTTGTCTTACTGTATGGCGATTTAGAATATTATGTTCAGGTCTGAGTACAACACTTTAAGTCAAATTAGATTATTTTCAGAGAACAACCAAATTGCTGAAGGATCTTGAGGAAAATCTGAAGTAATTCTAGATTTAGTCCGATTCGGTGGGGGGTATGATGACTGTTGTCAGATATTTGAAGGCTTATCATTATCGTTAGCCTTTGTCTCTAGAATTAGGACCAATGAGAAGAAGTGCTAAGGGAATATAAAGAAGGGCATATTAGTAAGAACTGCCAAAGATGATATGAGAGGCCCCAGGCCTTGTGAGGGCCCCCACAGTGAATTTGTTTCAACAGAGGTTACATGATAATTTGCAATATTACAGAAGAGGGTCCAACTGGGATGAATAGTTGAACTCAGTAACTTTTTTTTTTTTTTTTAAAGATTTTATTTTTTCCTTTTTCTCCCCAAAGCCCCCCAGTACATAGCTGTGTATTCTTCGTTGTGGGTTCTTCTAGTTGTGGCATGTGGGACGCTGCCTCAGCGTGGTCTGACGAGCAGTGCCATGTCCGCGCCCAGGATTCGAACCAACGAAACACTGGGCCGCCTGCAGCGGAGCGCGCGAACTTAACCACTCAGCCACGGGGCCAGCCCCGAACTCAGTAACTTTTAAAGTTCTGTCTAGACTTATGGCTATGTAATTCTAGGAAAAAATGGTTAGATTAAAAAATTAGCTTCTAGTTGTATACACCTCAGTTATTTGAATTATTAATCAGCTTATTTGAGTACTTATATTGTGATCAATACTGTCTGGGGTGTGGTTGAAAATGCTAAAATATCCCTATTGGGAGCTGTGGAATGCAGAAGCAACTGAAGGGAAGCAGGACCCAACACCTAGGTAGGAAGGGGCCAGCTTCCAGGCTTTACAAGCCTGGAAGGGGCAAAGAACCATTGTGTTGGGTGGAATGACTGTTAAAGAATTAATTCGCTAAGTGTTACTCACTGTGGCAGAATTTATTTAGTGTTCATTATTTAGCTGGGACATTTGGTTTTCTCTGTAAAAAAGAAATTTTAAAAGCAAATTACAATCCCAAAGAACGAAGTTTGACTCTGAACAAAAGTTTGATCTGCTCCTGAAATAATTTCCACCCCCCTGACAAAGAGAAACCTTGATGCCTGTCAGTTATGGGGCAAAATGGCCATACTGGGTACATTGTACTTGTTAAATAAATACTTCTTGAGTTGGTTATTCTGTAAATAATTCGCCTCCCCCATAGCTCCTACCTTAGAATTGGGAGCCCACCTAGAGAACTTTGCCCCTCATTCATCATGGTGTTGACATGACAGATGGTCTTATTAAGTGACCAACAGTGGAGGCACAACAATTAGGTATCAAGAAATCTTTAGTACCAGGTAGGCTTTTCGGGGGTGGGGGGTGGGGTACGTGAGGGACCTACATCAATTGAATTTTGAACACCATGTGATATATACATTCTACTGTATGTTATAATTTTAATAGCGTATAATGATTTATGTTAATAAATTGAATGTCCCTCTAAGATTTTATTATTTACCTTTTTTGATAAATTACCCTGAGGTTTGGTTACAGAGAGGTGGTGAAAAAGGAAATATTTGGTAACAAAACTAGAATAAAAGTTTAAAGCCAATTTCTAATTCATTTTTATTGTTTTCCAAGGTCATTTTTTGAGAACTTAAGGTGCATTGCCCATAGAAGCATGTTATAATATAGAAAATTCCCAGGCTAGCCCATGAAAATCTATTTATCCTACAATACATATTAAGTATGTCACTTAGAGCATTAATTCAGCCATCCCTAACCACTACATGTAAAGTGTGAGTAGATACATTTGGATTTCCAAATTGGGAGTATTTTGCCTTCGCAGAGGGAGTGGCGATGACTCTGAATTTCTTCATGTGGTGAGATGTGGATTGGAGGGGGATGCAGACCGTTAGCAGCAACACCACAGTTCTCCAAGTGTTCGGAACTGGAAAGATTGGAGTGCTGGGGAACACTTGCCTCCTGTTACATTGTATATTGGCTTCACATTTGTTGGGGAGTGCGTGTGCTCGTTTAAGCACTGTGATGTTTTCACTCATGGGTCTCTTTGGTTTCATTTTTGCATACTATTTTCCGTGAAGCTATAATTGAAGATAGAAGAGCTTTGTAGATTCTGAAGGAAGTGTGTGTCCATGAGGCACAATAGTATTGTGACATGAATTTTGACTTTTTTGGGGGGGGAATGCATACTTTTAGTGGTTGGCTAGTTTAAGAGCACCTATCTAGGGGCCAGCCCTATGCCTGAGTGGTTGAGTTCCTGCACTCTGCTTCGGTGGCCCAGGGTTTTGCTGGTTTGGATCCTGGGTGTGGGCATGGCACTGCTCATCAAGCCATGCTGAGGCAGCATCCCACGTAGTGCAACCAGAAAGACCTACAGCTAGAATATACAGCTATGTACTGGGGTGCTTTGGGGAGAAGAAGAAAAAGAGAAGATTGGCAACAGGTGTTAGCTCAGGTGCCAATCTTTAAAAAAAAGTACCTAATAGCCTCTTTTTTAAAAAAAAATTATTTTATTGAGGTTATATTGGCTTTTAACATTGTGTAAATTTCAGGTATACATTATTATGTATCAGTTTCTGTGTAGACTGCCTCATGCTCACCACCAATAGTCTAATTTTTATCCATCATATGTGCTCCTTTACCCCATTTGCCTACCCTTCCACCCCCTTCCTCTCTGGTAACCACTAATCTGTACTCTTTATCTATGTGTCTATCTTCCACATATAAGTGAAATCATACAGTGTTTGTCTTTCTCTGTCTGGCTTATTTTGCTTAATGTAGTACTCTCAAGGTCCATACATGTTGTTGCAAATGAGACGATTTATCTTTTTTATGGCTGAGTAGTATTCCATTCTCTCTCTCTCTATATATACACACCACATCATCTTTATCCATTCATTGGTTGTTGGGCACTTGGGTTGCTTCCAGATCTTGGCTATTGTGAATAATGCTGCAATGAACGTAAGGGTGCATAAATCTCTTTGAGTTTTTGATTTCAAGTTCTTTGGATAAATACCCAGTAGTGGGATAACTGGGTCCTACGGTATTTCTATTTTTAATTTTTTTGAGAAATCTCCATACTGTTTTCCATAATGGCTGCACCAGTTTGCATTCCCACCAGCAGTGTATGAGGGTTCCCTTTTCTCCACATTGTCTCCAACATTTGTTGTTTTTTGTCTTGGTAATTGAAGCCATTCTAATAGGTGTAAGGTGATATATCATTGTAGTTTAGATTTGCATTTCCCTAATGATTAGTGATGTTGAACATCTTTTTCATGTACCTGTCAGCCATCTATGTATCTTCTTTGGAAAAATGTCTGTTCATATCCTCTGCCCATTTTTTGGTAAGGTGGTTTAATTTTTTTGTTGTTGAGTTGTGTGAGTTCTTTATATATTTTGGAGATTAACCACTTATCAAATATATGATTTGCAAATATTTTCTCCCAGTTGGTGGGTTGTCTTTTTTTTTGTTCCTGGTTTCCTTTGCCTTGAAGAAGCTTTTTAGTCTGATGTAGTCCCATTTGTTTATTTTTTCTTTTGTTTCCCTTGCCTGAGTTGACATGGTATTCGAAAAGATGCTGCTAAGACTGATGTCAAAGAGTGTACTGCCTCTGTTTTCTTCTCGGAGTTTTATGGTTTCAGGTCTTACATTCAAGTCTTTAATCTATTTTGAGTAATTTTTTTTTCCTTTGGTGAGGATGATTGGCCCTGAGCTAACATCTGTTGCTAATCTTCCTCATTTTGCTTGAGGAAGATTGTCGCTAGCTAACATCTGTGCCAATCTTCCTCTGTTTTGTATGTGGGACACCACCACAGCATGGCTTGATGAGCACTGTGTAGGTCTGTGCCTGGGACCCAAACCAACGAACCCCAGGCTGCTGTAGCAGAACGCACGAACTTAACCACTACACCACCAAGCCAGCCCCTATTTTGAGTTAATTTTTGAGTGTGGTGTAAGATAATGGTCTACTCTGAATCTTTTGCATGTGCCTATCCAATTTTGCTACACCATTTATTGAAGAGACTTTCCTTTCTCCATTGTATGTTCTTGGCTTCTTTGTCAAAGATTAGCTGTCCATAGATGTGTGGTTTTATTTCTGGGCTTTCAGTTCTGTCCCATTGATCTTTGTGTCTGTTTTTGTGCCAATACCATGCTGTTTGGATTACTATAGCTTTGTAGTATATTTTGAAGTTAGGTAATGTGATGCCTTCAGCTTTATTCCTTTTTCTTGGACTGCTTTGGCTATTTGGGGTCTTTTGTTGTTCCATATAAATTTTAGGATTCTTTGTTCTATTTCTGTGAAGAGTGTCATTGGGATTCTGATTGGGATTGCATTGAATCTTTAGATTACTTTAGATAATATGGACATTTTAACTATGTGTATTCTTCTAAACCATGAGCATGGAATATCTTTCCATTTCTTTATATCTTCTTTGATTTCCTTCAATAATGTCTTATAGTTTTCAGTATATAGGTCTTTCACCTCCTTGATTAAATTTATTCCTAAATATTCTTTTTGTTGCAATTGTAAATGGAATTGTATTCTTAACCTCTCTTTCTGCTAGTTTATTAGTGTATAGAAATGCAACTAATTTTTGTAAGTTGATTTTTTACCCTGCAACTTTGCTGTCGTTGTTGATTATTTATGCTAGTTTTTTTGGTGGATTCTTTAGGATTTTCTATATATAGAATCATGTCATCTGCAAACAACAAGAGTTTTATGTCTTCCTTTCCAATTTGGATATCTTTTCTTTCTTTTTCTTGCTCAATTTCTCTGGCTAAAACTCCAGTACAGTGTTGAATAGGGTTGGCGAGAGTGGGCACCCTTGTCTTGTTCCTGTTCTTGGAGGGATGGCTTTCAGTTTTTCACCATTAAGTGTGACATTGGCTGCGGGTTTGTCATATATGGCCTTTATTATGTTGAGGTACTTTCCTCTATGCCCATTTTATTGAGAGTTTTTATCATAAATGTATGTTGGATCTTCTCAAATACTTTCTCTACATCTATTGAGATGATCATATGATTTTTATTCTGCATTTTGTTAATGTGGTATATACATTGATTGATTTGTGGATGTTGAATCATTCCTGCATCCCTGGCATAAATCCCACTTGATCATGGTGTATGATCCTTTTAATGTATTGCTGTATTCAATTTGCCAATATTTTGTTGAGGATTTTTGCATCTATGTTCATCAGGGATATTGCCTTGTAATTTTCTTTCTTTGTATTTTTCTCTCTGGTTTTGGTATCAGGGTAACATTGGCCTCACAGAATAAGTTAGGAAGCATTCCATCTTCTTCAGTTTTTTTGGAATAGTTTAAGAAGGATAGGTATTAAATCTTCTTTGAATGGTTGGTAGAATTCTCCAGAGAAGCCATTTGAGTACCTATTTAATAGCCTCTTAAAAAACATTTTGAGTAATAGGATAAAAATAGACATTTAAAAATCACTTTTTTTGTTTTTGGGTGGGGGAATCACTTGTAAGGTCTACACGAGTCCTTCTGTGTACTCTCTGGATCGAGTAGTTGCTGGATTTCGAACACGAAGTCAGATGCTGCTGGGTCACATAGAAGAACAAGATGAAGTCCTCCACTGCCAATTTTCTGATAACAGTGATGATGAAGAATCAGAAGGCCAAGAGAAGTCTGAAATTAGGTATGTTAAATATAGACTGATTTAATAAACATAGTTATATGATACAATAAATGTATACAGAAGTAGGTTTTGTTTTTTTCGTTAAAGTGTATCTTTTCCATTTAATATAAGAGCAGGTAGTTTTTGCTAAATGTACTGTCAACTAAAGTGTTACGAAACCAGTATTTGAACACAAGTCATCAGTCTTACAATTGAAAAATAATTTTGCTTTTAGAGCTTTTGTAGTTGTTAGATTTTAATTTTCAGAGAGAACATTTTTGGATTTTCTGATTCTGCTACCACAGTGGCAACAAACAGGATGAATTTTCCACTGGATCCAACATGGGGGCAAGGCATCCTTTTATTTTGAGGAATATTAGTAAAATTCTATTTGTTTTATATAATGCTTTTTTAACATTACTGTCACTTTTTGGGGAAACTTATTTGAGGGCAGATTAGAAAACATTCATAGACAACTTACCTTTGATCTTAATTTTTCTTTTTTTTAGATGTAGAAGTCACCCATGGATTCAAAAGCCATTCAAAAAGCCAGGGTCTGTTTGTTCTCTTGTTGAGTTGAATGATATTCAGGATCAAACACAAAAGTCAAGTTCGGGGAATGAAGGTACACACACTTTCTCAAGTAATTTAGATCTAATATTTGTAAGACACTTCTCTTTTTCTTCGGTCAATAATTTAAGAAGCATTTAGGAATTCTCAAAGATGGGAGCTTGATGGGAGTGTTTTCCTGGTTGATAGAATGTCCTTTATGTTCTCTGTTGTACCTCTAATTTTTCACTCTTTTTTATTCCTTGATAAAAAAAATTTTCCACCGATCAGTTCTGGCTAGAGTTGTAGCTAAATCTTTCGAATGAGGATTTTATATTCAAACCTGAGTTGATATACATTGTACTCTTCACTACTTTAAAATACATCTTAAGTAATTTACTAAGTGTCTATTTTATGCTTCACTGGCACACATGCCTACCATTAGTGATGTATTTGGCATTGGAGCCAAATTAGTATACTGGGTGCTCATAATGTTCTAGTACACAATTGATGAGAATTTTTGTACATTAAATAACAGCATCAAAAATGTTTATGTTGCAAAAACTATAGTAGGAGATTTTAACTCATTTCTCTTGGCCTATGAGTGGTCAAAACAAAAAATAAGAGTATAGAGAAGATAAATAACATGATAAATAAGTCCTACACGTTGATAATAGCATCTTTTTAAGATCCTATGCATGTAATATTAACAAAAAATTGACTATATGTCACAAATAAAACGTGTATAAATAGTGTAGATTGGTGCTCCTCAAGCAGCCATCCTTGAACTGTTTGTTACTGGTCTACAACCAGGTAAGAAACTTAGTCCAGAAGGTAAATCAGCACACTAGTTCCTTCATTGAGGATGTCTTGCTATGAAAAAAGATAGCAGCTGAACTAAAACAGTGACATAGTTGATTTATGTTCTGGTCTAAGATAGTAACAAACAGTGCTGGACCATACTCTGAGTAGTCTGTTCTCTGATTACGATTAAACTACAAGTTAGTAGGAAAAAATTCAACCTTCTACCCACCTGGAGATTTTACACTTTTCTTAAATAACTCAGGTTAAAGAAAAGCTGAAATTGCAGAATATCTAAGGGCGATGAAAAACTGTATATCAGAACCTACAAGACATGACTAAAACATTTATATATTTTAAGGAAAGGAAGACTTGCTGTAAGCTAGAGAACCAGTTTCAACTGCTGTGTATTTTTTTTCTCTCTCTCCCTTTCTGTTTGTCCCTTCCTCTGCTGTCTCTAGACTGCTTCTGTGTCTGCTTTTCTTTTTAACTCTACTTCTGCTGAATATTTTATGAGCAGATAGTTTTATTTCTCAGTTTTGTTTCTTTTATTTTAAAGATTTACAGATTGACTATCTCCAGGAGAGTCAGGAGTTGAATTTGCAAAAATTAAGGAATTCAGAACTCATACTTACTGAAGCTAAACAAAAAATGAGAGAACTTACAATTAATATCAAGATGAAGGAAGATCTGATTAAAGAATTACTAAAAACAGGTAATAGTATGCTATCAACCAGCTTATATGAGAGAGAAAAGCTTCTAATGTTGCATCTAATGTTGTAACATTTACTTTAGTTTTTGATGCTCAGGACTATCCAGTGTAGCTTGTAATTTGGTGTAACAAGCTGTGTTTTAGAGCTAATATGTGAGGTTAGTTATCAAAAGAATTTTCTTATTTTGGAATTTCATCTATGAATTGTTCTAGCCAGTGTGAACTCTGTGTTGTGCTGAAACTCTGGCACTTAATGTTTTTTGCCACTTTTTAAGAAACATTATACTAGGCATCTGGGAATATGTCTGAGATGTTTTTCTAACTCATTTCAACAGTAATTTATTTTAAATTGTTAGAATTCATTTTCTGAATTAGTTCATTTTTAACATTAATTGTAAACTTTGTATTTTAAATATAGATAATTTTTATTTTTCTGAAGCTGTAAGGAGTTGTCTTTGAGAGCTGTTCTCGTAGCCAAGCTTTTAGCTCTTCCCCTTAGTCACAAATTCGGCCAGGTTGGGCGTATGTACCTCATCTCCTCACCTTCAGCTACTTTAGACTTGCCTTAAAAAGCACGTCTCAGGTTTTTTGGATTTTTTTCTCCCCTAATATACTAAAGTGCAAATCTTGACTACTTTGAAGTTCAGTAAAGGATTGAAGGAATAAGAGACACCAGCATTTCTTTTTTTCAACTCCAATGAAAAAGAACTCACTGGTCACATTTAGGGGAACTGAAGAAAATATTGTCTTCCTCTTCTTCAAGCCCAAGGCAATAATCACAATCACACTCAAACTACATGAATTATGAGTCCCAACTCCTCTGCCAGCAAGGGGAAACCTGCCTTCCCACTTCCTTCCTCTTCCCTGCAAGCTTGCTTTCTGGCCTTCGGTCCTCCTTTCTCAACCTCCTCTCCCTAACTGCGGTCCCAAAGTGTTTTCCTTCCTCATTCCTAGTGAGGTATATGCTGTGCATCATCCCAGCTCCAATTATCCCAGGTGTTTAAGTTTGACTATCCTCCTTATAGGCAGGATCAATGCCAGTAAACCTCTCTTATGAGTATCTAGGAACTGATTTATGGGTTTAAATAACTTCTCCATCCTCAAGATTTCAGGGTACTGCCTGTGGAAGTTGAGGATATTTACCGCTCTGGAATAGATGATTTTCTTTCTGGTAGATTATCCCACCATGGGATATCTCACTAAACAAGCACAACTTTGAGGCTGGTCTACCTATCCTGATTGCCTTAAAATGGAGAATACCTCAACTTATGCAGAGAAGGTCCTCTTCTTGCTCATTAGAACCAAGGGCAGTTTGGAGCTTTCTTAAAGATCTTAGAGATGGTGACTAGCAAAAGGGTCAGTGTGTGCTTTTCAAAGCCCTTCCACTGACGACTTCTCCCCAATAGCAGCTGCTTTAATCAACAGTAACAGTGACAAGTATACTGCATTTCATCAATTCTATTACACATTTTTTTCACATTTTAATCTCTGAAATCAAGATGCATCTTACAATCAATAGTATCTTAGCATTTAATCATGGTGTAATTGGCATTGTATTTTTTTTCTTAGTGGTTCATAAAATATTGGTGTGTTGAACAATTTATGGATCTTAGAGTCATTAAAATATAATAGTTGTATGTATTTTAAAGTCAGTCAAAATCATAGAGTTGTAGAGGCAGAAGACAACTCACAGTGCATTTAGTTTGATAACTCCTTTTTATTAAAAAATTAAGAGATTTTCAGTATAGCAGTGTGACAAATTGTCCCCGGCGATTATTCATCCCATGAGCTCTAGAATCTGATTTCCCACTGCCATGAGTTTGCTAGTTTAGTTCAAGAACAGTTGACTATTCAGAACAAATCAAAACCAAGTTTTTAGGCTCATAGCTGGGCTTAGAATGAAAAGATATGGAAATACCTAATCCTATTTTTCTCTATGTTCTAAATATTCATAAGAAAAGCATTTAAAAAGAATTCGTCTTTAACAAGTTCAGTGGAATGAAAAAGGAGGAGGCCAGCTCTAGATTAAAAGATTCTTAAGAGACTCAACAATCAGATGTCTGGTGGACCTTGTTTGGATCGTGATTAAAATAAACCAATTATAAAAGACATTTTGAGACAATTTGGGAAGTCTGAATAGGGACTGATGGGTATTAACATTGTTAGTTAGGTGTGGCAATGACTTTTTGGTTAGGTCCATATTCTGTATAGATGCCTATTGAAGTATGTATAGATGAAATGGTATGACATCTGGGATTAGTTGACAGTTTTTTTTGCTGGGAAAGATTCTCCCTAGCTAATGTCTGTTGCCAATCTTCTTCTTTTATTTTTGTTTTTTTGCCCAAAGCTGCAGTACTTAGTTGTGTATTCTAGTTCTAAGTCCTTCTAGTTCTTCTAAGTGAGCTGCTGCCACAGTATGGCTACTGCTAGACGAGTGGTGTGGTTCTGTGCCCAGGAACTGAGCCCAGGCCACTGAAGCAGAGCACGCTGAAATTTAGCCACTAGGCCATTGGGGCTGGCTCTACAATTTTTAAGGAAATTAAAACAAAAGGAAAAAGGCATAGATGAAGCAACTGTGGCAAAATCTTGATAACTCTTGAATCTGAATGATGAGCATTCATTATATTATTTCCCTACTTTTTATATAGTGAAAATTTTTCATAATAGTTAAAAAAAAAAAAAGAATTCAAAGAGACAGATTATGGGGACCAGGAAGCCAAAGTGTAGTAAGCAAGAGGCCAAAGAATCATCTCAAACATCCTACTTAACTGGAGTTTGATGCCAGCAAAGCTAAACTGCAAATTCAGTAGAAATGTCACACTGAAACACAAAAGATGAACCAATGAGATGATTGAATGGCACCATATGGGGACAGTCATTAAGGAACTCATTATTAAGAGGCCAGGTGGCAAATTGTGTTTGATGGGGATGGGTGGGGACAGTTGGGTTTTTAGTGCTATGCCTTAAATAGTTATACTGCCCAGGTGGATTTTTAAGAGTACAGCATTGTTATGTTTTTGATGTTTTACTTAGTTTTTCTTTTTTGCATAATTTATAATTATTATTACTGTTATTATTATGGTTAAGGTAATGATGCCAAGTCTGTAAGCAAACAGTATTCTCTGAAAGTAACAAAACTTGAGCACGAAGCAGAACAGGCGAAAGTGGAATTAACTGAAACACAAAAGCAGCTACAGGAACTGGAAAACAAAGATCTTTCTGATGCTGCTTTGAAAGTAAAATTACAGAAGGAGTTCCGTAAAAAGATGGATGCTGCAAAGCTAAGAGTCCAGGTAATTTAAAAAATGTATTTGAGAAAACTTATTTAAGGCTTCCTGCTTTTGAGGATTTTTGTACCTGGTTAGGAAAGAAGTAGGATTCTGTTTTTACCAGCAAGAGAAACTGGATGGCAACTTTTCTTTTCCAGTGTGCTGGTAGGTTTATATACCTTCAATCTGGGTAGTATATTTCTTCATTCAAGAAGTTTATTATTTTAATATCTTTATCAAAAAGCATCTACTAAGAAATAAAGATAACCACAGAAATATTTTCCTTTTCTGGAGGACGGAAGATTAACTAGTGATTAAATAATACATATAAAACATCTGGTACGTACATGGCACCTTGTAGACACTCAACAAATGGTAACTATTTCACTTTTCTGAAACCATAACTGCTTGCTTTAATAAAGGTTAATAACTTAACTACATATCATTCTTAATCTCCTAATGCTGGATTTAGCTATAACCTCGGAAATAGCTACAATTAAAAGTTCTATTCTATGAGAAATATTCCATTACAGAGAGATTTTGTGTAATGAAGCCATTTTCAGATGCTTTTGGGATGGTCAGACTGCTTTGTTAGTCTGATGATAATGAATTTGCCAGAATGCCTTCTCCTTTTCTTTTCATCCATAATCTATTGCTTTCATATTGTTTCCAGTGTAGGTAGAATGGAATTGTAGTTAACCTGTTCAGAGCATTATTTATTTCTTTTTGAAACTGCCACAGTTATTTTCTTTCAACAAGGTAGCTGTTCACTGCACACCTCCTGTGCACCAGGTCCTTTTCCAGGTGGGAATGCAGAGGTGAACAGACCAAAAAGTCCCTACTCCTAGGGTTTTTAATGCCTCCTCAAACATCTGGACATCTCCACTACAATGTTTTACCTAAGTAGCCTCTCAAGTCAACAAGTTAAAATAATATGACTTTAGTGTTTGAACTGCTTAAAGGAGGACATGTGGTAGTGTATGTCACACTTTCTACTTTCCTTCAGAATACTTATTTTCAGAATACATATTTTCACTTAGCAATTCACAGCAAAGTCTTGGGATTGATTCTTTTTCACTTCTTGACCCTTTAAATTAAGGCTGCGGTGCCTAACAAAGTAGTCATTTTAATAAAACATTAGTAGAAAAGAACAATTAAGATTTTTCCTTTGTGTTTATTATGAAATTTTATTTATAATTTCATAGTTTTATATCCTAGCTTCAGTTCTGATTGTAATTTTTATACATATTAATAAGTAATAACTGGGATTATTGTTTTTCTAAGGAGGTTATTATATTTATCATATACATCTATAGCTTAAGCCTTGTTTGTGGATTTAGCAAAGATTATTTTTGTATGTTCTATATCTCGCACAACTAAAATGGTTGAGATTGAAAGATTAAATGAAAAATTGTAATAGGGTTTGGGAATTATGATGTTCTTTTTGTTTTCCATGTTTCTTGCTGCATATCCTTTTCTGGTAAGGGTACTAATAAGGAAGGGAAAGAAGACATAGAGTTTAATTAAGCTCAAAAAACATCTCATACAACAGAGAACTGAAACAAGGTTCCCATGTAGTTTTAGAAATTTCTGTGCCTTGATGGGGTTGGGAATGATTAAGATGATGAGGATGGTGGTGGGGATGAGGAGATAGACAATAGTTACCAGTTGTTAAGTGTCTACAAAGTGCTATATGCGTACCAGATGTTTTATATATATTATTTAATCGTTATTTAATCCTTTGAAGTGAGTATTTTACCCTATTCTACAAATGAGGAAGCTAAGGTTTAGAAAGGTAAAATAATTCATTCAGAGTCACATAGTTATGATGACAGTAATGCTTGTCAGCACTCTTAACATTTCTTACCATTTTTAAATATTGAAATACTAGTGTTTTTATTGGTATAAAGTTATTTTAGTTTTTAAAACTTAAAATTTTTTTAATTTTTAAAAATCTGAACTCTCTATTCTATATGTCTTTAGATATATAGAGAGAGTAATATGCTCCATTAGTATGCTAATGCTAACAGAGGTGCACTTTTGAGCTTCTAGAATAAGTGCAAAAGACAATGACAACCTATCTCACTTTTAAATAAGATTATCAGTACTCATACTGATGTTTTCAACATTATGTGGAAAAAGACACTAAAATGCTCCAGTGTTGCAGTTACTTTCAAAAGTAAGTGGCAAAGCCAATGTCCAAATCCAGGCATGGAAAAGTGCAGAGGCCTGTGGCCTCCAAGCCAGTGGTCCACAAAGTAGTCCATTTGCACATTGTTCATTGTTGGTCTGTGACAAGATAAAGGTAAATGAGAGCACAGCTTCCTTCAGAACAGTCCTGCATGAAACCAATGTCAGCCGAATCTAATAGTGAGCTGAGTGGTACAGGCTGACAACAAGTCTGTGACTAGTACTGGTCCACAGAGCACACTTTGAGGAGCCCTGCTCTGAGCTATGATAGCTCTGTGAATACTTAGTCTAATTAAAATAAGATGTGTTTATGTCAACAATTTATTGCAAGATGAAGGAAATAATTAATTATAATCTGCATAATTTACAAATAACCTTCCCTTAAATTTTTATGCCACCTAAGAGTTACTTAGTGCAATATTAAAGCACATAATACAAGTCTGATATATGTTTGTTTGTTTGATCAGGATTCAATTGGAACACCCTGATATTTTATATTAGTAGTGTAAACCCTTTAAAAATGTTCACAAATTTTTAATGCTCTCTGTAGATAAGCTTAGCTAGATGAGGAGAAGCTTTATTTAAGGTAGTTAAAATAGTAATTATAATGTTTGGTCACTCTCAGGGAAAATGGTATTGATTCTGATCATCTTAACTCAGGATTAATGATTTAGGCTATAGCTGGATATAAAAGAGGAGCACAGTGGAATACTATGCAGTCACATAGAAGGAACACATCTATGTGAAAGAGTAGCCTATCTGGAATATATATGAAGTTATTTGAATGCATGTAAATTATTTCTGGAATAATATTTAAGAAATAGCAGGACAGGAAGATTAGGGGTCTGAGATAAGAGAGAGTTTTTAAAAATATAAGGTCAGTTTTATGTTTTAATTTTTATCATGTACACATAATATTTTTAAATTGCTCATTAATAAAAAAAGCAGAGACTGATTTTGTTCTGTTTGGTTGTCTGCATCAGGAAGAATGATCATTCTTTATATCTAGTGAAAAGTATGACGGTTGCCTAGTTGTAAAAGTAAAAATGTAGAAAACAAGTGTGAATGTATCAAAAATAAGTTAAAATCGAGGCAAAATGCCTACCCTTGCCATTGAATGAAAAGTTTATGAGAGATGTAGTTTTTCATTTTGAAATATCCCATATGATCCCAGGTCTTACAGAAGAAGCAACAAAATAGTAAGAAATTGGCATCATTGTCGATCCAAAATGAGAAACGTGCTAATGAACTAGAGCAGAATGTAGATCACATGAAATATCAAAAGATACAGCTGCAAAAAAGACTTCGAGAAGAAAATGAAAAAAGGAAGCAACTGGATGCAGAAATTAAGCAGGATCAACAAAAAATCAAAGTAATATTGTCCTACTTTCCTGCTAAGCATAATAATGCTTGATTCGGTTGGCGTGTGAGGTATCTAACCTTGGCCTGTCCTGGGCTGCTGTCTTCATTCACTTTAAAGCTTTGTTCATCTACGTAGTAAAACCCATTTATTGAATTCTGAGTACTGTCTTGAAGGCTTTGACTTCACAAAAGACCAAAGCGCAGTGATAATTTCTCTGCTAGCACCTTAACTTTAGTTGAGGCTGTCAAAACTATAAATATATAAAGCTGACTTTCTAAAAGATATCTAACATGTGAATAAGATTTCCCATTTTCAGAGTGCTCTGTCATACATAGTGCAAGGTAAAATGGTACCATCTCATTCATAGTGAGCAGAAGAGTGATGAGACCTGTATGCACAGCAGTTCTATAGACTGGATTAGGCTTGGGAAGAACTGGTGGTGTCAGCCTGGGCCATGGAGCCAGGCTAGCATGGGTTCAAATCCCAGCTCTCTCAGTTCTTGGCTGGATCATTTTTTGAGAAAATCACTTACCCTCTCTGAATCTGTTTATTCTTATCTAAAATGGCCTTAATCATACTTGCCTCACAGGGCTCTTTTGAAGAAGAAGATGATAATGATCACAATAACGACAATAACAAACACTTATCTAGCACTATGTACTAGGCTCCTAGGCTCCGTTCTCTTGAAATGTTAAGCCAAATCCAAGGCTTGGAACATAATTGGAGATTTCCTGGATTTTAAATTTTGGAATATAATCTATTCTCAGAACTTAAGAAAGAAATCACAGAATTTAGTGATGAAAGGGTCTTTAAAGAGCAGTTAAGCCAAGTTACTGATTCTTTTGTTTTTGAAGATTGGCCCTGAGCTAACATCTGTTGCCAATCTTTTTTTTTCTTCTTCTCCCCAAAGCACCTCAGTACATAGTTGTATATTCTAGTTGTAGATCCTTCTAGTTCTACTATGTGGGACGCTGCCTCAGCATGGCTTGATGAACGGTGCTAGGTCCATTCTCAGGATCGGAACTGGTGACACCCTGGGCTGCTGAAGTGGAGTGTGTGAACGTAACCACTTAGCCATGGGGCTGGCCCCTGATTCTTTTTTTTTGTAACAGCTTTATGAGATACACTTCACATACCATACAATTCACTCATGTAAAGTGTACAATTCAGTGGATTTTGGTATATTACATTATTAATTTTTATAAGTTGTGATAAAATATATATAACATGAAATTTACCATTTTAACCATGTTTAAGTGTACAGTTCAGTGACATTAATTACATTCGCAATGTTGTGCAAGGATCACCACTACCTATTTCTAAAACTTTTTCATCACCCTAAACAGACACTCTAACCATTAAGCAATAACTCCCTATTCCCACCTTCCCCCAGCCCTTGGTAACTTCTAATCTCCTTCTGTCTCTGTGAATTTACCTATTCTAGATACTTCATAAAAGTGGAATCATACAATATTTGTTGTGTCTGGCTTATTTCACTTAGCATAATGTTTTCAAGGTTCATCCGTGTTGTAGCATGTATCAGAATTCCATTCTTTTTTATGGCTGGGTAATATTCCATTGTATGCATGTACCACATTTTTATCCATTCATCTGTTGATAGACATTTGGGTTGTTTCCACCTTTTGGCTATTGTGAATAATATTGTGATAAACATTGGCAGATACAAGTAACTGTTCAAGTCCTTGCTTTCAATTCCTTTAGAATTGAAATACCTAGTAGTGGAATTGCTGGGTCATATGGTAATTCTGTGTTTAGCTTTTTGAGGAACTACTAACTGTTTTCGATAGCAACAGCACCATTTTACATTCCCACCTTCAGTGTACACGGGTTCCAATTTCTCCACATCTTCACGAACACTGATTTTGTTTCCTTCTTCTATGTCATCCAAGTACATGTGCAGTTGTATCTCATTGTGGGTTTGATTTGCATTTCTCTAATGACTAATGATGTCAAGCATCTTTTCGTTTGCTTATTAGTCATTTGTATATATCTTCTTTGGAGAAATGTCTATTCAAGTTCCTTGTCTACTTTTTAATTAGATTGTTTGTCTTTGTTGTTGAGTTATAGGAGTCCTTTATGTATTCAGGACATTAAACTATCAGATATGTGACTTCCAAATGTTTTTTCTGATTCTGTAGGTTGTCTTTAAACTTTCTTGATAATATCTTTTGATGCACCAAAGTTTTTAATTTTTATAAAGTCCAAGTAATCTATTTTTTCTTTTGTTGCTTATGCTTTTGGTGTCATATCAAAGAATCCATTGCCAAATCTAAGGTCATGAAGATTTACCCCTATGTTTTCTCCTAAGAATTTTATAGTTTTAGCTCTTATATTTAGGGCATTGATCCATTTTGAGTTAATTTTTGTATATGGTGTGAGGTAAGGGTCCAACTTCATTCTTTTGCATGTGAAAATCCAGTTGTCTTGGCACCATCTGTTGAAGAGACTGTTCTTTTCCCATTGAATGGACTTGGTACCCTTGTCAAAAATCAATTGACTATAGATTTATGGATTTATTTCTAAACTCGCAATTCTATTCCATTTGTCTATATATCTGTCCTTAAGCCAGTACCACACTGTTTTGATTACTTAGCTTTGTTGTAAGTTTTGAAATTGGGAGGTAAGTCTTCCAATTTTGTTTTTTTTTTTTTTTTAAGGATTTAATTTTTCCTTTTTCTCCCAAAGACCCCTGGTACATAGTTGTATATTTTTAGTTGTGGGTTCTTCTAGCTGTGATATGCAGGATGCCGCCCCACATAGCCTGACGAGCAGTGCCATGTCTCTGCCCAGGATTCGAACTGGCAAAACCTTCGGCCACCAAAGCAGAGTGTGTGAACTTAACCACTTGGCCACGGGGCCAGCCCCTTGTTCTTCTTTTTCAGGATTGTTTTGGCTATTTGAGGCCCCTTGCAATTCCATATGAATTTAAGGATCAACTTTTCCATTTCTGCAGAAAAGGCCATTGGAATTTTGATGTGGATTGCGTTGAATCTGTAGAACTCTTAGGATAGTATTGACATCATGACAATATTAAGTTTTCATATCCATGAGCATGGAGTGTCTTTCCATTTACTTAGGTCTTCTCTAATTTCTTTCAGCAATGGTTTACAATTTTCAGTTTTACTAGTCTTTTACCTCCTTGGCTAAATTTATTCCCAGATATTTTATTCTTTTAGATGTTATTGTAAATGGAATTGCTTTCTTAATTTCTTTGAGTTACTCAATTTTAATAATAATGATAATTATTTTCGTAGCAGTAGTTAACATTTATTGAGTATTTGTCTTCAGTCAGTACTATGCTAAGCACTTATGTGCTTTATCTCATTTAATTCTTTTTTCTCCTATATTTTCAACTTTTACTTTTCTCCTAGATTCTTTAAACATCTTAGATTTTTCTCATCCTAAAATTATCTTCCTTCAACTTTATACTACGCTCTCTCTCTTCTCTTTATAACCAAACTTCTTGGAAAAGGTTACTGCATTTCTTTCTCTTTCCTCTGTTTCCATTCATTCTCTTATCCTCTCCAGTCTGGCTTGTGACTCCTGGCTCACTGTCCACTTCAAAGCCCTTGAGAAGTTCACTAGTACTCTCTGTCACTAACGTCCTTATCTTAACCCCTCAGTTGCATCCAGCATAGTTCACCACTTGCTCCATCTTGAAATATTTTCTCCTTTGTGAAGTATTTGCCTTTGTGAAATTATTCTCTCCTTGTTTTTTTCTCTTTCTGATTGCTTATTTTCTGTCTTTGCTAGCTCATCCTACACTATCAGTCCTTTACATACGGGAATTCCTCAAGGCTCTAGCCTCTGCCCTCTGTTGTTTTTTTTTTTTTTTTTAAATTGAGGTTTGGTTTATAACACTGTATAGATTTCAGGTGTTCATTATTGGATTTCAACTTCTGTATACATTACATTGTGTTCACCCCCAAAAGTCTAGTTTCCATCCATCACCATACAAATGTCCTCCTTTTACCTCTTTTGCTCTTCCTCTACCCCTCTTCCCCTCTAATAACCACCAATCTGTTCTCTGTATTTATGTGTTTGTTTGTTTATCTTCCACATGTGAGTGAAATCATGTGGTATTTGTCTTTCTCTTTCTGACTTATTTCTATTAGCATGATACTCTCAAGGTTTATCCAGTGTTGTTGCAAATGGCAAGATTTCATCTTTTTTATGGCTGAGTAGTATTCCATTGTATGTGTGTATCCCACATCTTCTTTACTCATTCATCTGTCATTGGGCACTTAGGTTGTTTCTATGTCTTGGCTATTGTAAATAATGCTTCAGTGAACGTAGAGGTGCACATGTCTTTTCAGATTAGTGTTTTTGTATTCTTTGGATAGATACTGAGAAGTGGACTAGCTGAATCATATGTTAGTTCTATTCTTAATTTTTGAGGAATCTCCCTACTGTTTTCCATCGTGGCTACACCAGTTTATGCTCTCACCACCAATGTAGGAGGGTTCTCTTTTCTCCACATCCTCTCTAACACTTGTTATTTCTTGTATTTTTGATAATAGCCATTCTGATGGGCATGGGGTGATATCTCATTGTGGTTTTGATTTGCAGTTCCCTAACAATTAGTATCCTCTGCCCTCTTATCTTCTGTACTCTTTCTGGGCGACTTCATCTTTTTCCATAGCTGCAGTTAAATTCTAACAACTTGCAAATTTAATACTTAATCCTAGATTTGTCCTATGAGCTCTGGATTCATATATCTAACCATTGAAATATTCATTAAGTTGTCTTATGGATGTGTTCATGATCTTCCTTATTTATCTCTCCACTATTCCCCCTCCCTGCTCCCTTCATGGAGAAGAAAATATAGTTTTCCAATGTGTCTTACATGACATTTCAATCTATTCACTTGGGTAAGCTAGAAATTTAGGAGTCATCCTTAACTCTGCTGTCTTCCTCATCACCCAAATCTAATGAACCACTAAGTTCTTTAGATAATATCTTCTAAATATCTTGAGTCTGTTCAATTCTTATTTCTACTGCCAACAACCTAGTCTGTTTGTTACAGTCCTTCTTCCAATGTGAGGATCAAGCCGGCCTGTCAGTCTTGTGGTTTTTGAGTCTCAGCTTCTCATCTCTCATAGACCTTGGCTTAACCCAACAAGATATAGCACTCTCTAAATCTATGCCTAGGGAAAAGGAAAAACTTTTTTTGTCAGAGTGCATAATCTACGGAATACAACTCTGCCTGTAACTTAAACTTTTCATGTTCTTATCTAGGGCAATTTTGTTTCTTCTAGCCATATCTCTCCTTCTAAGGAAGTGACCCATGTAAGGAGGAGAACGAATATTCCAGGAAAAGGAACAGTCTGCCCCAAAGATATATTGAAGTTTCCACTACTTCAGGCAAAAACAGAAAACCTGCTCACAGTTCTAAAGGACATCTTGCCTTTTGTTTGAAGCTAACTTTCTGATACTTCTGTTTGTCCATTTTCCACTTGAGTCAACCATTTCCAGAGAATACTACAACTTCTGCATAGGTTCTCCTTAGAGCAGCGGTTCTTTAACTAAAGTCCCTGTATGATACATAAAGAAAAGGTATGGGAACCCCTGAAGTTGTGGGCTGTAGTGTGATGGGGCTCTTTACTTCTCTAAGCACCAATTTCCTCATCTATAAAGTGGAGTTTATAATAGTCCTTGTCTGAGGATTAAATGGGATAATTAAATAGATTTTAAAAACCTAGCACAGTGCCTGGTAGATGGTTATTTTAATATTATGCAGGATTACAATATGAGATAAAGGCAGTAATGTCTAGAGCAACATGTAGAAGAAGGGATTAGACCTACTGCAGTACACTTTTAAAGGATTTTCAGAAGAATAAAAATAGTAAAGAGTCAGCTTCAAGCATAAGGTGACTTTATTTCAGCATGATAAAGTTGCTGTAACGATGACAGGGGCTAAGTTAAAACTGTGCACTAGAGCCAGGGAAGCATGAAAAATTAGTGGCTAGTAAATATAACAGAGTCCAGATTCACTCATAATACAACTCAGATGGGCATGGGAAATTTCTTTATTTAGCCTATAGCAGAGCTGTCTGCTTTATGAGCTACCATATCCTCTGTCCAATCCATGTCATGGTAATTGCTGGAAATATGGTGGGAACTCAGCAAATGTCCAGTCTGTTCAAACCTTATTCTGATACTTTAAACATTTTCTTTAAATAATTCTCAGCTCTCTCGAATAAAAATATTCAGTCTCTTAGCCTCTTCCCCACTGTGCGTCTCTCCCTAAGATGGGATCTGGTATATGTGGTGATTTGGGTGTGTAGCTTATGTTGCATCCATGGAGTCGAGGAGGATGGGACCTCCTGAGTTTCAGTTGGTCCCTGGATGTGATTGGCTGGAAACTGCTCTCTCTTGTTCACCTTTCCCTGCTGGCCCCCTGATGATGAAGCCCATGGCTGGTATAACTCATAGTATGATCTCGCCTTCAGCTGAGGGCATGGAGGTGTCTTAGCTTCATCTCATCTCCTAACGGCATTATAAACCCCTCTTTAGGCTATAGATCTTCCATGTAGCTTGCTAGCCCAGTGGCCTGTCCTCATCTTCAGTTTTGGGGGTCAATTCCCCACGATAACTAACCCCTGTTGACTTCAACTCAGGATCCATGTCACTGAGGCCAAGGAGTCCAGTCATTCTCTTGCCTGACCGTACTTCTCTGCTCTTTCATAGGGCTAAGCAGCCCCCTGTTGGTGTGGGGCCTCTGCACTGCAGTCTGTGTTCTCTCCCTCTGCTCTCCGTGATACCTTTATCACCCTCTTTCTGGGCCAGAACTCGAGAGGAAAATTGAGACACACATCTTACTGTCTCTTTTCTTCTTTCTGCCATTCCTGGGGCTGTAAAATGGTAGATTTTCCTTTTACTTCCTTCATAGCAGTAATTCTGAAATTAACTGTGGAGAAGGTACAATTTTTATTTTATTACTAATTTGGCACAGCTCGTTACTTTTGTAAAACATGAACTAGTAGAAAAATGAAATAAAAAATTGACATACACTATAAAAATCCATCTTTTAATGATTAGCTTCGACAGACATAAAATTATTCTGTCAAATTGCTATAAAAATTTCTAAACATTTTCTTTCAATTTCTGTATGTATCCATCATGGCACTAGTAAGAGAGAGTAGGCAGACTGGCCCATTTTGATTCATGGCCTCCTTCCTGAATCCTGCTAAGCTTTAGTGGTGACAGTGGCGTTTTCTCTAAACCCAAGGAGAGCACAATGAGGATTGGGCCTCTTGACTTGACTCTTAAGATGTGGATAGAAACTAAAGGAATTTGGAAATACCCTTCATGGGATCACGATCTGTCTTGCAAGCCTGTTTTCATGCTACAAAATCCGAATTTTGAATGCCAGAAATGGAATATTACTTTTCTTTTTACATTTCTACTGTCATAAATTTTAATATCCCTGTGGCAGATGGATGCCTTGGGTGGACTAACTGAAAGTAATGAGCTCAGAAAGGCAGAAAACAAATTTCTAATTTTCAAATTCTTATCCCTGGTATACTAATTTGTAATAGTGGCAAAGAATGAAAAAAAATACTTAGATTTGTTGGTAAACCCTGATTTTTGCTGTGAGAGTCTATTGCTTTAGTGTGGGCTAACATTATTTTCTCCTCAAATAGCTCCAACCTTCATCTACTCATTTTCTTTCTTTTTGCAACTAAGAAAGTGACTGTTAAATATTTAATGATGGCCAGGTAGTAAAAGCAATAAGATGTTTTCAATTTCTGTTTGCTGCAGGAACTAAAGTTAAAAACAGAACAGGAAGAAGGTCTGAAACTGAAAGCTGAGGATCTTGATGCATTGAAGATGAAAAGGAGAAAAGGTTCGTTTGGAAGTATAGACCAACTCCAGGTTTGTCGATTCTACTTAGTGTTTCCTGATTTCTCTTTGATGATTGTCTAAATAGAGGTAAACAGTGCCTGACTCTAAGTAAAATCTTCAAACACTAGACTTTGCCACTAAAGTGCAAAATTTCCAGTGCTTCTTCTGAAACCTTTCTGTTATTAAAAAATTACTTTATTGTCCAGAAATATGCTATATTCTTATTTCAGTAGAAATGGGTTTATCTGAATGTTTGTTGTGGAATGTAAGCATGAAATCCATATTCACTAGACTGTATTTATTCCTCCCAAAAACTTCATGTTTTTTGATGTTGCAAAACAAAAACCCACTTTTCAGAATTTAACTCTAAATAAGGACGAGATTATAAGTTAATCAATATGAGTATCCAAAGAGCTTGTAATAGGACATTGATTTGATATGAAGCTTTTTTATAAGAGGAAAGTACTTAAAATTAGAACTGTGGGGTAGGAACTTTTGTTATGAAAAGAGAAAAGAGGGAGCCAACCCTGTGGCCAAGTGGTTAAAGTTCCCCCTGCTCCAACTTGGCGGCCCAGGTTTGTGGGTTCGGATCCTGGACATGGACATGCTCCACTTGTCAGCCATGCTGTGGAGGCATCCCACATATAAAGTAGAGGAAGATTGGCACAGATGTTAGCTCAGGGCTAATCTTCCTCAAGCAAAAACAAAGATTGGCAACAGATGTTAGTTCAGGGTGAATCTTCCTCAAAAAAAAGAAAAGGAAAAAGTCAAGAAATTTTCAGAAAACCTACTTAGATACAGTGAATCCTACACAAATCATAATCTTTATTATATCAAATGAAGATAAATCCATTCATTTATTATTGGTTTCCCTGGGAAACCCGTATTATGTTAGTAAACTCCTACCCATTCTTCAAAGTACAGATAGAATATTACCTACTCTGTGACATTTCTTCCATTTCCCAGACAGAACCATCCCTCTCTCCATTTTTGCTTACATGGTACCTAGGAATTAGCTGTATATAGCATTTATTATCAACAATCATTTCTTTCAATTTCTCTCTTGTTGGAATGGAGCCTACAAAAGATCTCTCATTCATCTTTCAAACCTCACTCACAGTGAAGGAATGTGTGTAGAATATGTTTAGGTTAATTGCTAGGCTTCATAGGGTCTCCTATATAAGTTCCTAAGGTATAGCTGGATATAACAAAATTAAAGTATTTCTATAGTTGCTCTGGGATATCCTTCCCGTTCTTAATAATTGTAGAGCTACTGTTTTAAGCTTCAATATTATTTGGATGTGATAGTGCTTGTAAGACCATACTGTCTAGGTCTGGATGGAAGACTTCATAGCTGTGGATCTACTTTGCTTTGGCCACTTTGCTCTCTTTCTCATGCATATTCACCATCTCATTGTTTTAGTGTAGATTTCTAGGAACCAGTTTTATCAAGTTTGAGAAGAACTGGGAAATAGTACTATATTGATTTGTTTTCCTATTACTTGTCGTTTAGGGGGCATTGCTTCATTATTATGTCCACAATGCAGATGGGTGGTTGGTAGAATTCATCTTGGACAGTCATAGTCCATTCATATTTTTGTTTGTACTTGTTTCTGGGTATCCTTAATTTAAAATAGTATAAGATGATTGTTTTGGAGATCTTTCCAGCTCAATTCATTTTACTTTATAATTATTTGATGTCAACAGTCTACAATGCAGATTGGATTTCCATGCTCCATCATCTGTGTCTTCACTGTGTGTATTCATTTATTCACTTCATTGATTGATTGATTGATTGAATCAGGTGCTCATTCAGGCATACCAGGCATTGCAGATAGAGAGGTGAACCAGCAGTGTAAGTGCTGTTACGGAGGTATGCTCCTCTACAACAGAGGAAAAGATTCCCAGCATGTTCTCAGAACTAACTCTTATTATATGTAAATAAAATTGTCAGCCCTTTGTCAGCCTAAAAAAATCCCAGACTCAAACATATTTGGGGAGTGAATTTTAATTCCTTATAAAAACAACACAACAAGTTGTTAACTACACCCGCGTACTTCTTTATGGTTTTAGATAGGAGCACTATTTTGTTATTCTCGCTGGTAGTTTTTAAATGTTCATTTAAAGTGTTTTCAGCCAATATGAAATTATATTATTACCATATAAATTTTATGGCAGAAGAAAAGCAAATGATAATATTTCTCTGGAATTTTAATGTAGAAATTGGATGAGCAAAAGAAATGGTTAGATGAAGAAGTAGAGAAAGTTCTAAACCAACGCCAAGAATTAGAAGAGCTGAAAGAAGACTTAAAGAAACGGGAGGCCATAGTTTCTAAGAAGGAGGCCCTGTTACAGGAGAAGAGCCACCTGGAAAATAAGAAGTTGAGATCTAGTCAGGTATTCTATTTAATATGCTGTTTGATTCTGGTTGTAAGCCATATAAACTAGGATTTTTTTCTTTAAGATGTAAATCATACCATTGTGAAGTTAAAAATCAAAAGAAAACTATTCTTCTGGTTTTCAATGTATTTTGCTTATTATTGCTTATCTAATAACCATCACTAACCATCACTAAATCTATTGCAACTTTTAAGTAAAATGTTCAGTGTTTTGCCAAGTATGATTTACTTACTGATTTTTGTTTGATGTTTTAAAAATTGTGGTAACATATACGTAACATAAAATTTACCATTTTGACTGTTTATAAGTGTACAATTCACTGGTATTAATGACATTCATAATGTTGTACAACCATTACCGCTATTTCCAAAACTTTTTAATTACCCCAAACAGAAACTCTGTAACCATGAAGCAATAACTCTCCATTTCCTCTGGCAACCTCTGTTATTAACTTTAGTGGATGTTTTTAGAATAAATTGTACTATTTGATGCTGTATATTGAACATTGTTAATTTGGGAAAATAGACTTGAAAATGATTTAGATATTACTACCACCCAAAGTTAGGGGTTTGCAGGGTTCCTATAAAAGAAAGAAGATTTTGTGTACTGAAGATTTGTTTTTCAAATTAGAAAGACTTGGAGACCTTTACAAAAATTTTTGCTGGAGAACTTGGATTTTATGAGCCAGTGAAAGAGGTGGTTTTATGAAGGATTTTGCCTCAATTTCAAGTTTTGAAAAGGGAATGATGGTGGAGGGAGTAGAAGGACCAGGAGATACTTTTCTGGATATATCTATAAATATTTTCAGCAATAGCATCTAAACATGATGTCCCAGACTCAGAGAGGACTTTCTACCCAAACCTTTGCCTGCAGCAGGCCTCGAGTCCGAGATCGGTCCGTACATTGCGTCGTGGAACAGAGAGGATCAGTGACCTGCCTTTTCATTAGACCTGCCTTTCAGCCAGCATCTAGACCAGTAGGATCTGAGTTGATGGTGGTGTTGTCTTAACCTCTCCACCTCAATATGACAAGTAGACAGGCATGTACTTACCTGTGCTCTGTCCTCTGTTCCCCAATCATGTTGAAATAGCTATTGGCACCATGCTGTTGGACACAGGGGTAGGGGCAGCCCTTCCAACCAGCCCAGTTGCTGGTGCTATATTCAGGTAGCTTGCTCACACTGGTTGTCAGGGTCAAATTTTAAAAGCTGCCCCTCAAAACATGACAGCAGAGGAGATTAACAAATTAAAACATCAAGTGAGTAAATAGAAGAAAATAACCTGAGTGCTTTATATGTTCTGTATCACAAAAGAAAAAAGAGGAAAAAATAAAAAGGAATGAGGAGGAAAATCTTTTTCCTGAAATAAGTTTCCTTCATTATACAGAAAAAAAAAAGAGAAGAAAATAGCTGTTTTCTAGTTTCAACAAGATGCAAGCAAGAACAAGAACATACTGAGATAAGTAGAATGCAAATAAATGAAACCCACAGTAGATCAAAGCAAAATTGATTCTTTGAAGGTTGTTTTAATGAAACAAAAGAGAAACTTGAGACTGTTATACTGCTAGGTTCTTTTCTGAACAAAAGGCATAAAAAGATTACATCTTTTTTCAGTGCTTAAGAAATACTTATAAGACTCAATCATATACATTTCAGACAAGGAACATGATATTAAAAAACCTATATTCATACCATATACCAATTTAACTCAAAATGAGTCAAAGACCTAAATGTAATAGCTAAAACTATAAAACTCTTAGAAGAAAACATAGGTGTAAATCTTCATTATCTTGGGTTAAGCAATGGTTTCTTGGATATTACACCTAAAGCATAAGCAGTGAAAGAAGCATTAGATAAATTAGACTTCATAAATTTAAAAACATTTGTGATGCAAAGGATACCATCAAGAAAGTGGAAAGACAACCCACAGAGTGGGGGGAAATATTTGCAAATCATATATCTGATCAGGGACTTGTATCTAGCATATATAAAGAACTCTTACAACTTAATCATAAAAAGACAACCCAATTAAAAAATAGACAGGCCAGCCCTGGTGGCCTAGTGGTTAAGTTCAGTGCGCTCTGCTTCAGCAGCCTGGGTTTGGTTCCTGGGCGTGGATGTATACTGCTCTGTTAGTGGCCATGCTGTGCTGGCAGCCCACATACAAAAAATAGAGGAAGATTGGTATGGATGTTAGCTCAGGGTGAATCTTCTTCAGCAAAAAGAAAAAAAAGAAAAATGTGCAAAGGATCTAATAGACATTTCTCCAGAGAAGATATACAGATGGCCAATAAGCACATGAAAAGATGCTCAACATCCTTAGCCATCAGGGAAATGCAAATTAAAACTTAAATGAGATACCATTTCATACCCACTAGCATGGCTATAGTAAGAAAAATAGATAATAAGTGTTGGTGAGGATATGAAGGAATTGGAACTTTCATATACTGCTGGTAGGATTGTAGAATGGTGCAGTTACTTTAGAAAACTATCTTGCAGTTCTTCAAAAGGTTAAACATAGAATTACCACATGACCCAGCAATTCCACTCCTAGGTATATATCCAAGAGAAGTCAAAACACATGTCCACCCAGAGATTTGTACATGAATGTTCATAACAGCACTATTCATAATAGCCAAAAAATGAAAACAACTCACATGTCCAGCAACTGATGAATGGAACAAAATATACTACATCCATACAATGGAGTATTATTCAGCAATAGAAAGGAATAAAGTACTGATACATACTACAACATGGATGAACCCTGAAATATTATGTTAAGTGAAAGAAGCCAGTCACAAAAGAACACGAATGATTCCATTTATATCAATGTTCAGAAGAGGCAATTCCGTAGAGACAGAAAGTAAAATAGTGGTTACTTAGGGCTGGGTGGGGGCTTAGGGAGGAAATGGAATGACTATTAGTGAGTATGGGGGTTTCTTTTTGGGGGGGGGTAACAAAAACGTTCTAAAATTGACTGTGCTGATGGTTGCACAACTCTGTGAATATACTAAAAACCATTGAATTATATACTTTAAATAGGTGAATTGTATGACATATGAATTACAGCTCAATAAAGCTATTACTCAAAAACTGTAAACCCATAAAGGGGAAAAAACAGTGGAGGAGACAACTGAGGAAAAAATATTACAAAAAATGTTTGTAAGATGGAAAGCAAATAGATGACTTAGCAGAACGGAGGAAGCTGAAATCCAAGTGCCTAGAGAGGGACACCAATGACAGCCAAGGCTTTAGCGTTAATTTTTCTTTTTTTATAAAAGCTTTATGAGATATGATTCACATAGAACATGAAAAAGACTCAGAAATGAAAGGACCAAGATTTTCAGAAGGCAGGAGTGAGGCATAAGGATGAAGACCGTGTATAGTCAAGAAACTATCCTTTTCTTACTCTGGAACTAGATGGTTTATATTCTGAAGATTGAACGAAGCACAGAAGAGGGTCAGGGTGAGTCAAAATAAATCAGGGAATGAATGAAAGTCTACATACAAATCCTGAGACATCCATTTCCTAACCCCTACTTGGATACCAGAAATGCTGGGAGCCAGATTTATACTTTCCCAGCAGGAGATTGGTGGATTTTCTGGAACAGTCTCTGAAAAAAGATGAAAAAACACTTAAATTTGAGGTAGAGCCCAGATATATCCTGTGGTGACAAATCTTACCCACCACACAACTTACCAGCTTTTTAATACCTGACTCTTAAGTGTGCTGGACATTTCAAGAATGCTCTTAACATTAAAGACAGAGACCAAAACAAAAGGAAAAGGAAGCTCAGAGAAATTAGAGATAGAGCAAGGAGCTGAAAAACTTCAAAAAAACCTTAATATCCTCAAGGTGGTAAAAGGTGATTCTCTATAAAACAAGAACTACAGGTTATTAAAAACATGAAAGAACTCTTGGAAATTAAAATGATTGGAAGATAATGTTGAGGAAATATCCCAGGAAGTAAATAAAAAGATAAATTAATAGAAAATAGGAGAAAAAATATTAATTGGCAGACAAATCCAAGAAGCCCAACATCCAAGTAATAGGAATTCCAGAAAATACAACAGAGAAAACAGGAGAGAAGAGTTTATCAAGAACATAAAACAACACTGAGGATGTGAGACTTTAGATTTAAATAGCTCATTGAGGGCCCAGCAAAATGAGTGCCGAAAGCATATCATTGTGAAGTTTTGAGTATGCTTAGGAAAAAAATATCCTGAAAGCTTCCAGGTAGAAAAGACTAGTCAGAATGGCATTAGACTTCTTAACCTTCTTCATTAGAAGTTAAAAGACCCGAATGCAATCTTAAAACCCATAAGGAAAATGATTTCCAATCAAGAATTCTTGTTTTAGCCAAACTCTCAATAAAATGTGAAGTTAGAACAAAGACCTTTTCAGGTAAAAAAATTTCTCTCTCACCTAGCCTGTCTCAGGAAACTACTAGAGGATATGCTCCACAAGAATGAAGGCATACACTATGAAAAAAGGAGACTCAGGAACCTGAAAATGTGATCCAACATGGAAATTCCCAGGGTCGTACCAAAGGGCAGTCCCAGAGTAGCTTGTCTAGTTTGGGGCAGGAAGAGGGAGGCTCCAGGCAGAATGTTTCCAGAAAAGACTGGAATGAAAAGATTTCCTGATTTAAGTTTGATCAGATGAAAAAATAGTGTTCAGAGGAATTTCATAGTTCTTTGGGAGAAGAATTAGTTATAAAGTACCCCCCAAAATTGTGGCAGATGGAAGTATAATCATTTTATACAAGATAGTTCAGCTTTGAATAATATTCACAAAGCTGAATATTGATTTAATGAAAAACTGTAGTAAATATTGGGAGAATGGAAGGAGAAGTAGGAAAGAGGAGGCCCAGAATGCTAACTCGTCTTCCACAATAGACAGTCAGTAGACAATATCTAAAGTTGATAATGTTATTTAGAAACATGGACATAAACACCAGAAGCAATAGCTAAAAAGTTGAAGATGGTTGTTTCTGGGGAGCAGGACTCAGGTGACAGGGTGGGATAGAGAACTGCTTCTTTTAAAATTATAAACCTTATATATGTATAATATATATGCATATAATTACTTTGATGAAAAAAATATTTTAAAAATTATCTTAAATTAGGCCATAAGGAACATCTCCGTAAATCTAACTGGCCATATTTTCTGACCAGAATGAAATAAGAGTAGAAACAAATTATGTGTTTAAACAACAAACCAAATCTCAGCCTCTAGGAAATTTTAACAGAATTAATTCTACTATGTAACCATCCAAAGAAGAAAAGTTCAATTTAGAAAATAATAAAAAAGAAAAATGCTACCTCTCAAAACCTATGTTATATATTCTGGTGTGGCTAAACCATACTTGGTAGTAAATTCATTGAATCTCTGTTTTTTTAAAAAAAGGCATTCAATTTACTTTTTTTTTTTTTTGAGGAAGATTAGCCCTGAGCTAACTGCTGCCAATCCTCCTCTTTTTGCTGAGGAATGCTGGCCCTGAGCTAACATCCATGCCCATCTTCCTCTCCTTTATATGTGGGACGCCTACCACAGCATGGCGTGTCAAGCGGTGCCATGTCCACACCCAGGATCCGAACCAGAGAACCCCGGGCTGCCGGGAAGCGGAACGTGCGTACTTAACCGCTGTGCCACTGGGCCGGCCCAAGGCATTCAATTTAAGATTTTAGAAAATGAAGCCCCCTCCCACCAAAAAAAATCCATGGGTGAAAACAATGTAGAGGCTAAAAGTATATTCATTTAGTAATTTTTCTATGTTTTTTTCTAATTTATATGCAGTTTGGATTTCTAGTAACTGTTTTTGGGGTGTCTGGTTGATTGTGTCTTTTTAGGCCTTAAACCTAGATAGTTTGAAAATATCAACTCGCCTGAACTTGTTGGACCAAGAGTTGTCTGAAAAGAATGTGCAGCTCCAGAGCAGCACTGCTGAGGAGAAAATAAAGATTTCAGAACAAGTTCAAGTCCTCCAGAAAGAAAAGGATCTGCTGCAGAGACGAAGAAACAGTGTGGATGAGAAACTTAAAAATGGTAGCGTGTTATCACCTGAAGTAAGTCTGTGTTCTCTGGAACTGGAAGTGCTGTACGATGGATCACTTGGATGATGTCCTCCATCTTTGTCACTTAAACATAAAAATGATAAATCTGGTAAACTTTGTTTCCTTGAGACTTCATCAGATGTAATGAGTTTACCTGGCACCTGTTTGGTGCCATAAGCCATGCTTGATTAGAGACTGATGTCCTTGCGTAGAGGACCATGAACGTGGCCCCTTCCTGACATTGCCAGGGGTTGCAAGACTAACACTTTCCTTGAGTATGGCCCTTCTCAGCTAAGGTTTCTCATCTGAAATCACAGAACACAGAAAATTATTTGAAAGACTCTTTCTCAGTTCTTCCAAAGAGGGCACCTACCTTCTTCTATGCATCTTTCTTGAATGATCCTAGGTAATTCATTACATACAATGGATGCCTAGAACAATAAGAGTCAATTCTTTCATATTACCTTGGTTGAGAAAGGCCCAGTGTTCCACACTTAAGTCCCAGCCAGGTAGATGCACAAAATTCAAATCCCCGTAAAAATACCTTTGAGTTGGACTTTTAATTTAGGGGGCACATGGCTCCTCTCACCTTTGTTTTTTTAAACTATGTAAAAGATGTTTCATTTACTGCCTATAAAATTGCCCCAGACTTTGTCTTTTTTCAGCATTTTACTTCAGTTGGCAATGGAACCTGTACCTTAACTTTATCAAAGATGAATTTTTGAGCCTGACTTTTCTCTGCAAATATTTATCGTTGATGTTCTGTTGTTGCCAAAGCAAGAGAAAATTGCTAAGAGAAAGTGAATAGCTGAGAATCATGCAAAACATATAAGATTTAAGGAATTCTTGCCTGCCTAGGATGGTTACTGGGCCCATGGAAGAAACAAAAGAAGTGAAAAGCATTATTATGCTCCTCTTGAGAAATTCATACTCCAGGGTAAAAGAGACGTAAATATAAGAAAACTCTAAACCCTGAAGAACATGAAAAAGCAAGTTACAATGTAATAAATCTATACTTATTACATTATTTATACAAAGCAGTACAGTGATCATTTAGGGGAAGATTCATTAAGGCAGGTGGAATCTTGACCTGGATTGTGAAAAACATGATAGGTATGGGTAGATATAAGAAAGAAGGCCATTTTAGATAGAACACCCTTAAATAAGGAATAAAGATGGGAATGAGTAAATGATGTTTGCAGAAAGGTAGAGGGTCCATTATTATCATCAAGAAACATTTAAATTTCTCTTTCAGGTGGAATACTGGAAATGAAAACATCGTTTAGGGTTTTGTGGTGAAAATATAGCACCATGCAGGATACCTATTTAGCAGCCACTCTGGATTGGTTTGAGGGAAAATGGACCTCCTGCAGTTGATAGGGTTCCATTTAGTCATATGATCTTCTATGCAGCCTTCTTCCACATGACATGGTTGGTTTTTCTTAGTGTAGCTCTGAAGTGGGCTCTGCTCTCACCTCTGTTGTAAAGCCAAGATTGATTGGGATCATGGGATTCTGATGTGACACAAGCCATCAATAAAATATAAGTGGAATAGTTTAGTGTTTTGATGTCTTTAAACTAGCTTAGAATTATTTTCTCTTTCCACAAAAACTAAAATATCTTTCCTAATTGTATTACTTTACGGGAAGTGATAGAAAGATCTTAGATCACTATACTAGTACGGGTTTACCCAACTATTTAATTTAGAGAAATCACCTCCTTTCTTTGGTAAAATCCAGAAACTAAAATTAAAAAAAAATACTTGAACTCTTCTTCTAATAATGGAGAGCAGTTGCCTAGTAAGTGGGGTATAGGAAGAAAATACAAGAACTATTATATCTATGTTTATTTCATGTTTTAAACTTTCAATTTCATGTTTTATCATGAGAACATGCATCTAATTTATAGAGAAATATACATATATGTAGTTGCTTGCTCAAGTTTTTTTTTTTACTGATAGGGATGTGTAGTCTAAAATGTTTGGAGACCACTGCTTTAGATCCTTGTTACTCTCAGTGTGGTTTCTGGACCAGCAGCAACAGCATCACCTGGGAGCCTGTTAGAAATGCAGAGCCTCAGGCCCCATCAGACCTGCTGAATTAGAAATCTGCATTTAAAAAATTTATTTATTTATTTTTTTGGTGAGGAAGATTGGCCCTTAGCTAACATCTGTGCCAATCTTCCTCTATTTTATGTGGGATGCCGCCATAGCCTGGTTTGACAAGTGGTGCTGGGTCTGGCCCAGGATCCAAACCTGTGAACCCCAGGCTGCCTGAAGCTGAGCATGCGAACTTAACCACTACGCCACTGGGGCCAGCCCCCAAATCTGTATTTTAACAAGATCCCTAGTGCACGTTTGAAAAGCAGTGCTCTGTGGTAAAGCATAGTCAACTCTTGATAATCTGTGGTTTGAGTGTGGCAAAGTTTTCATGCTGGGACAGTTTCCCATTGCCTCTCATCTTGTCAGTCTACACCCATTGCTGGGTTAGAAGGAACCATAGATATTTATATGCTGCAGCCTCCCTGGAGTGAGCTGTCCTCAGGGTTCTATAGTCACACTACCTTATATTATCTCAGTGCTTCCTTAACTTAGATCCAAAACTATACAAACTAAATTTGTACCAAATTGTTCTCAGCCATATGTAAGGGCAAACTCTTTCTACATTTGTTTTTGATAAAATGTAATTACAGAATGCATTCAAAAGTCAAGTATGTTCTTTGGATAATTTACTTTTGTTTTCTGGTTCCTCTTATTTATTCACCTAAGTACCTTTGAGGATTTAAGTTTGTTTTCCCTTTTTTTCTTGAAAAGTGAATATTATTTTCTTCCTTATGGAGCAATTATCAAATCATCAAATTCTTGATGGTTAATGATTGCACAGAGAAATAAAATGGGTGTTGAACATTTTTTTCAAAATGCCTCTTTTGGGAGATTTTATAAAATGGCTTTTAAAAATAAGTAGTATTCAACCCCTCACTGTAATAGCTTGTTACATACCTTTTCCCTGAATTCCAGAAAAGAAGTTCGGGAAGTTACTCTAACTATTCTTTAGGTAGGTCAGAAATATTAACATTATTTTCCTTTGAAATTCTGGGAGGCGGAGTGGAGAGAAATATTTGGGTCATATAACCAAGGCATTTCTCCTCTTCCTTCATTAACTCATTTAGCAGACCCTTACTGAGTTTAAACTAGGTGATATGTACTGTGCTAGGCAATAAGGACATTAGTATGCACCAGACAGTCTGCCCTCAGGAACTTACAGTTGAGGAGACCTCTGCCACACATACAGGTATACAGAAACATATCCAAGTCTGACCAAGTCCAAAATAAATTCTTACCAGAGATTTGGATGCCCTCAAATAACATATGCGGATAGTTCAAAGAACTGCTAGGTTTTTTGACAGGGACTCATCAGACTTTTTTTCCTACAAAGGAAATCATCTCTGGCATATCAAGAAAATGTTAGGCCACCACCATTTTTAATGCCTATATTTTCCCTCTAATGACATCTCATAAGAATCTTATGAAATGTTTCATGTTCTTAAATCCTCACTACTCTTTTTAAATGCCATACTGTGTTTTTTCCCTAGAGACTCTCCTCTGATTACTAGTTCTTAATAACTTATTCTAAGTCTATTTCTTGTTTCCCTCCCAGCAATGTACTGTTTTGATAGATCCTTGAAGGGACATCAGGTCTCCAGATTTCACTGACACATAATATGCACTTTAGGAGCAGTGGAGGGAGATATATGACCAATCCTGTGGGCTGAAGTTTGCTCAAGTGTATTCGTTAGTGACCAGCATTTGCTGTATGACCTTGGGACATTTCATAACTCACCTAAGCTTCTGCCTCTTCCATTTTACTACTCATGGTTTATTGCGAGGATTCAACGATTATAGGTTGTATATATGTGTATACACACAGTGCATTGTGTAGCATAGCAAGTACTGAATAAACATTACTTTCTTAAAATTTAGTAGAAGAGTGGTAATGTCCATTAGACTCAAATGGCATAGTAAAATCTTAATATATGACAAAGTCCAAGTTATACCATTTCATTTAAAATGAGTCACTTCTATTGTATTATATCTAGGAAGAACATGTTCTTTTCCAACTTGAAGAAGGAATTGAAGCTTTGGAAGCTGCAATTGAATACAAGAATGAAAGTATCCAGAGTCGCCAGAACTCACTCAGAGCTTCATTACAAAACCTTTCTCATAGTGAAGCAGATGTCTTGGAAAAACTAATTTGCCTGAACCCTATTGAAATTAGAGCTATTCTTTTCAGATATTTCAATAAGGTTTGTTTTTTGAGGGACAGAGTTTTCTTATAAAAAGGGGTCAAGATGCTTATATATCCCACATTTATTTAGAATTTTTAAAGAAATTGAAAGGCCTTAAGGTTTGATGGTTTTACTACAAATTTAAACATCATTTCTCTTTATAGTACTGAATGTTGACATCTGAAACCTTTGTGATCATCTAAATATGTAGGCCTAATGCTGGGTTTCTTAAAATTGAAGGATCATTTGAAAGAAGGGTTTTTTGAAATAGTTGTAAAAATCAAGGATTTAAGTTATATTCGTCAGTCACTATTTCTTGGATATTTTCTAGATTTTGGTATTGCTACTCAGCATTCATGAAAAATCAGGGGCCCTCCAAGTTTGGGTTGCCTTTCTCTCCTTCATTGCTGTAGAGTAGGAGTCCTTGTCCTTGCTCATCGTAACCTGTGGATTGAAATGGAGATGAAGTGGTGCATCAGTGGCAAAGACTACTTTGTAGTAGATTTTAGCATTAACCTGAATGCTTAATGTCAATTAAAATTTGACAGTTTACTGATGCGGAGATGTTTCTTAGCACTGAGAACTATATCTTCTCTCTAATATCTTCTCAAGATACATATTATGAAGTGTTAAACAAGTAGATAACTTTTTTCTCTGAAAAGTATATTAAATTTAAGGGAGTATCAGACAATTACTGAAAAATAAAACACTGAAGTTTTAAAATAAAGTTCTAATTCTGTGAGACAAGTGAAATAAAGATGAAAAAATTAATGGAAATAGTATGCACAGCCCTCCTCTTGGATAATTACTGTCAGTAGTAAGCTACTATTATTGATGAGAGTGCATCCTATTTACTAGGTGTATGGAGGGGAGAAAAATGGTGGAGTACTGTCTGCAGCTTTGATATAGATGACTCTTATGGTGCTCTTAGAGCAAGGGCTCTTAACTTAGAGCACCCAGGCCGACATCAGTGGATTTTCTGATCGTGAGAACCCTTTGTAGAAATGAGTATTTTTCTGGAGAGAAGGTCAACAACAAATTCAAAAGGCTGTTAGGTTATTTTGTAGGTATGTTACAAAGCACTGCCTAATTATACCATGGTGATTAAGGAAGTTCATCTTATATAGTCTAAGAGAAGTAGGTTAATCTATTATATTAAGCTTTTTAAGACACACTTAAAAAGGGTCAAAAAATGTCTTTGCTAGGTGGTTAATTTGAGAGAAGCTGAACGGAAACTACAGTTACAGAATGAAGAAATTAAAATGAAGGTTCTTGAACGGGATGATATGGTTCGTGAGTTGGAATCTGCACTGGAACATCTGAAATTGCAGTGTGACCGGAGACTGACCCTCCAGCAAAAGGAACACGAACAAAAAATGCAGTTGCTTTTACATCATTTCAGAGGTACCTGTCCCTTCTCATTAATTGTGTAAAGGTGATGTGTAGGAGGTTGATTGGAGAAGGAAGATTGGACAGAATTTGATTACTTATAAGCCCAACCTGGATAAACAGTTCCTACTTACGTGTTTTTGTGCTCTATGTGTTTTGGTTGCCACATGTTGGCACAGTTCACTTGGATGTAGGGCTGTTCATGCTTGAAATGCCCTCCCTTCTGCCTGTCCCCAGCACACACATAAGAACTGCTGTAATTCCATTAGTTTGTTGTTGGTCTAGTTTTTGTGTAGAAATGTGGAATGAGGCTGTCAGATTTCTAGTTATATTTCTTGTTATAATTTTCAGTTGATTGTAAATTTTGTGCAGTTAGGTTATATCTTAGGTCAAAATTAGTCTACCATTGATGGGCACAGCACAGTAGTTCAGCTGTCAACTCTGATGTGGAAAGAGCTGTCATATCAGTCGGTCCTCATATTACCGGGCATATGGCCATATATAAATAGTTGCTATGGCAACAAAATCACTGCCAGACAATACTGGTACTGCTTCAGTCCAGGCTGCTTAGCTACTTAGTCTTGATTCTTGTGATTCTCTAGCTGGAAATGGGTTAAACAGAATCTGGAAGAAACAACCTGAGCAAGCAGAAAATTGGAGAATTACCAATTTGGGTGTTGAGGCAATTTGCAACTAAGTTAATCCTATAACCAATTAAATATCAACCAATTTCCTGATGACAGGATTTCCTTGACATGATCCCAGAAGTCATTTCGTTCAAACTTGCTCTCCTTACCTTATTTTAGTTCTGTCTTAAGTCTGTAAAAGTAATATCCTAACAGAGTTTTTAATGTATTTTTCAAGTAATTGGCATTGTACCACAAAAGTTATAGCCAAATGAGAACATTTAAAAAATCATTCATTTCTACAACTATACAAGTTTTTCATAACAAAGTTATAACTGTAGTTAGCAATTTATGAATTTTCTAATTTTGACTGAATATGGGACATAAAATTAAGTTGATTTATAAAATATACTTTATGGAGATTCTAATTTATGTTGTCATTAATTTAAAGTATTTTTTTAAACAAGATGATAGGTTAATTTAAAATATACAAATATACTAAGATCAAAGTTTACAAAATAGCTAATTATAACAAAATTACAAACCATTAGGACCGTTTTATAAATTTACCAATAGGAAAGAGTAGATCTGAAAGTATGTATTTTCTGAAGGCCAGTAAACTAGGTCTTACTGGTTCTAGAGCATAACCTAGACATTTATAAATATTAATTAGAACCTTTAAGTTATATTGTAGCATAAACTAGAACTTTATGCTGTTTCTCCTCTTCTCCTTTTCTTGTGGTGTGTTCCTTTGTAATTTAATCTTTCTAGCCTCTTTTGAGAGGTTTTTGGTTTTTGTGGGGTTTTTTGGTGTGTATTTCTTGGGCCTATAAACCTTAGGCTTATGACTTTTCATATATCCACAGTTCCTGATATAAACTTTAAATAAGATTAATACAGCTGAGGAACTGAGTTCCAAACTCTGTGAACTTTTTATAGAAAACATCTTATTTCTGCTGTTCTAGTTAGTAGCTACTCAAAAAGTGCTTATGAATCATGAAAATGTGTTTGATAGGGGGTAGGGTACTGAAGCAGAGTAATGGCTCAATCCTACTTTGAAAAATTTTACAGGCAGAAGAATCCAAAGTGTAACTGGAAACAACTGTATTCAGGTAATAGATATGTGTAACATACTTTTGAGCCTTTAAATATAGTCTGGGGGCTATGTTAGAACATCATTTTCAATCATTTATTTTAAGCTGATTTTAAAGGTAAATTTCTGTTTTATAGAGCAAGATGGGGAAGGCATTACAGAAACTTTAAAAACATATGAAGATAAAATACAGCAGCTGGAAAAAGATCTTTATTTCTATAAGAAAACCAGCAGAGATCTTAAGAAGAAACTTAAGGAACTGGTAGGAGAAGCAGCTCGACGGCAACTGGTACCATCAGAACGTAAGACATTTAGTGTGATTTGTCATGCTCACACTGCCTGGTTCATAGTGTAGCCTTTCCCAATTGATTAGGTTATTTAGGATTAGATATTTAACTTCTCTTTGTCTTTGTAAACAAAAATAGTTGTCCATTCCATGTGTAAGACAGAAAGAACCACAGGAGGGATGAAGAACAAACATGTATGTATGTGAAGGGAAATGGTCATTTTTCGGGTTGCCTGCCATGTACGAGGGGCTCTTGTATTCCTTAACTCATTAAATCCTTAAAATAACCCTATAATCTAAGATAGCTGTTGTTTTCCTATTTTATAGTAAATTACACCTTCTGACTATCACAAAAATATATAAAATGAATAGAGAATAATAAAAGTAAAGGTAACATATATTGTTTGTATTTCTAAGATCAGTCAGGTCTTTTCAAATCTTGACCTCTGGAAATTCAAAAGTATAATAAAACCCATTGTTGAGACAAAGATATTTTCTTGCATAATTATATGTAGATATGTAGAAGTAGCACCTTCCTCAGTGAAATGATAAAACATGACAAAGCACTTTGCAAAAGTAAAAACTGCCATGAAGGTAATAAATTGCTGTGATTAAAATACATCCTCTTTAAGCCCACCAAATAGAGAGGAATCACTATTTCTAAAATAATATATTCGACATTGTATAAAAGAATTAGCCTTCCTTCAGAGGAGGTATTCTCCTAATAATTTCATTATGGCTTTTGAAAAGTTGACTTTACAACCTTTTAGGAACACACCTATTTTGTACCTGTAAAGAAAACTGCTTAAAGATGGGTACAACAATATGTAAAGAACACACCTGAAACTAATATAATGTTATATGTCAATTATATCTCAATAAAAAAAGAGATAATTAGGTGACGTCAGCAACATGGCAGCATGAGCTCACCTGGGACTCTCTCCCCTCCAAATTACAACCAAAAAGAGCAACTGCTTTCCAACAACAACAAAAAATCCTAATAACAGAAATCTTCGGAGACCCAAAGCAGCCAAACAGCGGAGGGCGGAGAGGCTGGAGCCGCCCTTGGAGGAGCTGGAACCGAGCAGGAGAGAACTTCGCTCCTGCCCCTAGAGACTGGGATTGCTGCTGCGGGTGAGGGAAGCAGCGGGGGAGGGGCCCGCAGGTCCATGGAATAGTCCAGGACTCCCACTGCCTGTGCAGTGGTAACCCTCTAACAGGGGAAAGCTTTCATGTGGGGGAACCCCAGCAAGCCAGGGGCTTGGGAAACCAGAGAGCGAGAGCTGAACGGAATCCAGGTCTGTGCAGGAGAGAAAGTGCCCCTCCTCCCCCAACCCGGGCTGTGCACCACCATCACGGCTGAAGGTGGAGGGCTCAGAACGTGTGGCTCTTAATCCCCATCTAGTGGCTACAGGCTGTAATTGCAACCGAATAATAGCATCATGCACAAAAACCACTCCTCTACCATCCAGCAATTTATAAAAGCTCCAGTCCAAAAGGAAAACAATAAAAATACAGAAGTATGTCCTAAGGACTTGGAAATAGGTAAACTGAGTGAAGATGAGTTCAAAATAGCTATCATCAAAATACTCAGTGAGGTAAAAGGAAATATGGAGAAACAACTCAACGAGTTCTGGAGTTACTTCACAAAAGAGATTGAAACTATAAAGAAGAATCAATTAGAGATACTAGAGATGAAAAATACAATGGATCAGATAAAACAGAATACGGATTCCCTGAATGCCCATGTAGACACCATAGAGGAGCAAATTAGCATAATCGAAGATAGACAGGCTGAATGGCTCCAGACAGAGGAAGAAAGAGAACTAAGAATTAAGAAAACTGAAGAAAATCTCTGAGAAATAGCTGACTCAATGAGAAAATGCAACTTAAGAATAATCAAAATTCCTGAGGGCGTGGAAAAGGAAAATGGAGCAGAAAGTGTGCTCAACGAAATAATAGAAGAGAACTTCCCAAATCTAGGGATTGAGAGAGAAATGTGTGTGGACAAAGGTTTCAGATCTCCTAGGTTTGTCAATGTGAAAAGACCTACTGCAAGGCATATAGTAGTAAAAATGGCAAAAATGAATGACAAAGAAAGAATACTCAGGGCAGCAAGGCAGAAGAAAATAACTTACAAAGGAACCCCTATCAGACTTTCAGTGGATTTCTCTACAGAAACCTTACAAGCTGGGAGCGATTGGAGTGACATATTCAAAACCTTAAAGGATAAAATTCTTCAGGCAAGAATACTCTATCCAGCAAAAATATCCTTCAGATATGAGGGAGAAATTAAATCTTTTCCAGACAAACAAAAGCTAAGGGACTTCATAGTCACAAGACCTCCACTACAAGAAATCCTCAAGAAGGCTCTCATACCTGAAATAAGAAAAAGAAGGAGAAAGGGGTCACAAAACACAGAGTATGGAGACAAATAGATAGAATGGGAATAGGATAGCAAATATTCAACAATAGCATTAGGATAAAGGGAAGTAAATCACCAAAGCAAAGACAATCTTATCACTCTAACTACAAACTCACAACACAAGTTGGAATCAGAGATGAAAATAATAATTTAGGAGGGGAGGAAGAAAGGGTCTGAAATAGTCTAGGCTAAGTAAGTAAGAGACCACTAGAAAATGGACTATGATATACATGAGATTCTGAATACAAACTTCAGGGTAGCCACTAAACTAAAAAACAGAACAGAGACACAAAGCATAAATAAGGACAAATCTAAGAAAGCCAGCATAGGAAATTGCAGAAGTCAATGGGTAGGCTAAAAAACACAGGATGAGAAACAAAGGAAACATAGGAAAACCAAAAAACAAGCAACAGAATGACGGCATTAAGCCCTCATGCATCAATACTCACCCTCAATGTAAATGGATTGAACCCTCCAATAAAAAGACACAGAGTGGCAAAATGGATTAAAGAACAAGATCCAACAATTTGTTGCCTCCAGGAAACACACCTCAGCTCCAAGGACAAACACGGGCTTAGAGTGAAGGGGTGGAAGACAATACTCCAAGCTAATAGCAAACAAAAGAAAGCAGGTGTTGCAATACTTATATCAGACAAAACAGACTTAAGATAAGGCAGGTAAAGAGAGACACAGAGGGCCAATACGTAATGATCAAAGGGACACTTCATCAAGAAGAAATAATGCTTATAAATATCTACGCACCCAACACAGGAGCACCAAAGTTCATAAAGCAACTATTAACAAACCTGAAAGAAGATATCAAAAATAACACAATAATAGTAGGGGACCTCAACACCCCACTCACGTCAATGGACAGATCATCCAGACAGAAAATCAGCAAAAAAACCAATGGAGCTAAACAAAAAGCTAAAACAGTTGGACTTCATAGACATATATAGAACACTCCATCCAAAAACAGCAGAATACACGTTCTTCTCAAGCACGCATGGAACATTCTCAAGGATAGACCATATGTTGGGAAACAAGGCAAGCCTCTATAAATTAAAAAAAATTGAAATAATAACAAGCATCTTCTCCGATCATAATGCTATAAAGCTAGAAACTAATTACAAGAAAAAAGCTGAGAAAGGCACAAGGATGTGGAGACTAAACAATATGCTGTTGAACAAGCAATGGATCATTGAAGAAATTAAAGAAGAAATAAAAAAATACCTGGAGACAAATGAAAATGATAACACGCCATACCAACTCATATAGGATACAGCAAAAGCTGTATTAAGAGGAAATTCATCGCAATACAGGCATATCTTAACAAACAAGAAAAATCCCAAATAAGCAATCTTAAACTACACCTAACTGAATTAGAGAAAGAAGAACAAACAAAACTGAAAGTCACAGAAGGAGAGAAATAATAAAAATCAGAGCAGAAATAAATGCTATTGAAACAAAAAAGACAGTAGAAAGGATCAGTGAAACAAAGAGCTGGTTCTTTGAGAAGATAAATAAAATTGACAAACTCCTAGCCAGAATTACAAAGAAAAAAAGAGATAAAGCTCAAATAAACAAAACCAGAAATGAAAGAGGAGAAATAACAACAGACTCCACAGATATACAACAGATTATAAGAGAATACTACGAAAAACTATATGCCAGCAAAATGGATAACCTAGAGGAAATGGATAAATTCTTGGACTCCTGCAATCTCCCAAAGCTTAGTCAAGAAGAAGTAGACAATTTGAACAGACCAATCACAAGGAAATATATTGAAACAGCAATCAAAAGCATCCCAAAGAATAAAACCCCAGGACCAGATGGCTTTCCTGGGGAATTCTACCACACTTTCAGAGAAGATTTAATACCTATCCTTTTCAAGCTATTCCAAAAAATTAGGGTGGATGGGACACTTCCTAACACATTCTGCGAGGCCAACATCATGCTGATACCAAAGCCTGACAAGGACAGCACGAAAAAGGAGCATAAACAAATGGGACTTCATCAGACTAAAGAGCTTCTTCAAGGCAAAGGAAGACAGGATTGAAACAAAAAAACAACCCAGTAACTGGGAAAAAATATGTGCAAGTAATACATCTGACAAAGGCTTAATATCCATAATATATAAAGATCTCACACAACTCAACAATAAAAAATCAAACAACCCAATCAAAAAATGGGCAGGAAACATGAACAGACATTTCTCCAAAGAAGATATACAGATGACTAATAGGCACATGAAAAGATGTTCATCATCGCTGTGCATCAGGGAAATGCAAATCAAAACTACACTAAGATTATCACCTTACACCCATTAGAATGACAAAAATAACTAAAACAAATAGTAACAAATGTTGGAGAGGTTGTGGAGAAAAAGGAACCCTCATACACTGCTGGTGGGAATGCAAACTGGTGCAGCCACTATGGAAAACAGTATGGAGATTCCTCAAAAAATTAAAAATAGAACTACCATATGATCCAGCTATCCCACTACTGGGTATCTATCCAAAGAACCTGAAATCAGCAATTCCAAAAATCCCATGCACCTCTTTGTTCATTGCAGCATTATTTACAATAGCCAAGACGTGGAAGCAACCTAAGTGCCCATCAACAGATGATTGAATAAAGAAGATGTGGTATATAAATACAACGGAATACTACTCAGCCATAAAAAAGAACAAAATTGTCCCATTTGCAACAACATGAATGGACCTTGAGGGAATTATAAGTGAAATAAGCCAGATAGAGAAGGACAATCTCTGTATGACTCCACTCATATGAGGAATTTAAACCTGTGGACAAAGAGAACAGATTAGTGGCTACCAGAGGAAAGGTGGGGTGGGGTGTGGGCACAAAGGGTGAAGGGGTGCACCTACAACATGACTGACAGACAATAATGTACAACTGAAATTTCACAAGGTTGTAACCTATCATTAACTCAATAAATAAAGAGATAATTATAAAAAGTGAAACCATAAAAAAAGATATAGAGACCAGTGAAAAATTTATGCATGCACAATGAAAAGATATATGCTGAAAATATAATCAAAGTAGAATTAACATAGTTTTAAATTTTAAAATTCAGTAATATTTTAGAAAAGTAGTCTGAATGCTACCCTATATTTATGGTATTTATCATGTACAGACATTTTCACAAGTAGTTCCATTTAACCTTCTAACTTAGAGTAGGCCAGTGTCTGCTAACCCCATTTTTAGATCATGGAATTGAAGCTCAGAGAGTTCAAGTGATTCCTGAACAGAACAATCATTAGAACATGGTCTAAGGTCCCTCATCTTCTGACTCCTGGTCCTGTGTTCTAGAATAAAAGTTGTCTTAGGATAGAGGTGTAATACAAACATACAAATCCTGACAAAGAGACTAGACTTTCTGATTTTCAGTGTAGTAATGCAGAGGTATTTACTTATGTAATTAAAACATTTGCGTGAAACACTACCTACAAAAAATTAAAATGTAAACAGGTATTACATAGGAAACAACAATCATCATAAGACCATGTTAGCTTTAAAAAAAATAATCCACTTTCCAATTTGAGATAGCTGAAATTATAGATCTAGTGTTTAAATGGCCCATTTTTATACTACTGAGTCTATTAGACATGTCTTAAAATGACAGTGTGGTATGGTGGCATACAGATTTAATAAACCTGGATCCTCATCTTGCTCTTTAATGAAACACATAGAAAGTTAAATAATCTTGGAGATGTGTAAAGTGAGGGTAACACCCATCTGACCAACTTACCGAGGAAGTCTAATCTTGATAATAATGTTGAAGGTTTTATTTCAGCTAACTTGCTCTTCTACCCAGAAACATCTTAAATACTTTTATTTTTTTGGCTATAAAAAGTAATATATAGTCGTCATAGAAAATTTTGAAAATACAGGAAAAAAGCACCCATAATCCTACCCATAACTATTAACATTTTAGCATGATTCTTTTCAATATTTTCCCCATGCTTAAAAAAAACTACAGTTGAAATCAGTTGGGGATATAGTTTGTACTATATCCTATCTCAAAATGCTGCTCTAATATAATAACAAACAAAATTTGTTTGAATTGTAAAATGTAGCCATTTAAATATATCAAATTCTGAGTTCCTTAAAATATATTGATGCTTAATAATCAGTATCCGAGTTAATACATGACTGTCTTCGTATTCAGTTGATTGGGTTTTGATAGTTCTCTTTTCATTGTCTGCCTACCAGACTTGTATTTATCTTCTTTGAATTTTTTTTTCCTCCTCAAAAGCCACAGTACATACTTGTATGTTCTAGTTGTAGGTCCTTCTAGTTGTTCCATGTGAGCCGCCACCCTAGCATGGCTACTGACAGACAAGGAAACTAACCCGGGCTGCCAAAGTGGAGCGTGGCAAACTTTTTAACCACTAGGCAGTCAGGGCTGGCTCTCTCCTTTGAATATTTTTAGCATTTTTAAGTAGCAGAAAAATTAATCTTTTGACTAAAATATCTTGTTCACTTCTTGGTCAAGCCTCTGTTATAGTCTATCTGTTTTCTAACGTATTTTTTTAGGATAAAATTAGTTTTTATGGACATGCAGTCTATACACTTAAGTATTTAAAACTTTATCCTTGTATCAATTTAAATCACTGTAAAACTCTATGTGAGGATATGAGAGTCAGAAGATCTGGTTTGAATCCTCACTTCTTTTACCAGCTATGTGACCTTGGGTGAATTAGTCTTTCTCTAGTTTGTTCCCTCAATGGTAAAATTCTGAGAGACAGAAACTTTCTTTGTGAAGAATCCAAGTGGGCTTGGGAGTGAGCCTCTCCAGTGAGCCCATCTCTGCTCTTTCAAATACGATCTTTAAAAAATAAGATGCCTGGCTCCTCTCCCCTGACACTGTGACCTGGGCATCAGGATTTTAAAAAGCTTCTGGGTAACTCTAATGTGCAGCCAAGTGCAGCCTGTGACCACTATAGTCAGCTTTGTGAGTATCTGCTAATTCCATGTGAGGTTCTCTGTCATTTGCTAATTCAGGATTTTTGTTTGTGAGAAAAATTTTAAAAACTAGAAAATCAATTATGTTTTAAACCAGGGGTCCCAAACTAAAATGCCTGCAGGAGCCAGGGAAGCCAGAATGAGCAGTGGGAACAGCAGTAGTTGTCTAACTTGGCAGAAGCAACTCTGCTCCAGCTGCCATTGCCAGTTCTTCTCATTTTTCTATAAAAGCTGGAAATCTATATTTTTATTTGAAACTTTCCACTTCTTAAAAGTTGGGTTGTTTATTATTATAGGCTAAGTAAAACTTATCTGTGGGCCAGATTTGGCTTGAGAACTGACAATGCAACTTCTCTTTTTAAACTTGATATTTGCAGGACTAGAAGGGTACTAACTGTGTATCAACATCTGTTAAAGTTGGCATTTTTCATCATATTAGGTCTAGTACCTATATGGACTTCCCTTAACAAGTTTTTGTGTTCAAAATTAGATGGTTCTGTGGTTTGAGGACCTCAAGCTTTGCTCTCTTCACTCTATTACTCATTCCAGTGGGGTGTACCTCACTGAGGGGGTCTTCTCTCATCTTCCTTTTGATGGTGGAAGTTAGGATGCTTACCCCAGAGTACATTCATAGAGCAGAACCTTGCTACCATGCTTGGAGTGCCAACCAAGACTAGCTTTTCACACACATAATGCCAAGTCCCAGAAGATTCCCTGGAGATATGAGGCAAAGCCAGTATTCTCCAATGCTGGCTTCACTTACCTAGGATTTGGAGTGTGATTCCCCAGTGGCAAGCCCAATGGAGGGCAGGCATGGAAGGGTATCAGAGAGGCCCAAAGCACTCCTGTGTTTCCAGGGAGTACCAGAATCATTAGAAGACTATTTCTCAACTTTGTTCCATGAATTAAAAATTCGCAGTTATTCACATGTAAGATGCCTGTAAGTAAAATAAGAATAATTCATATTCACACTTCTATTTGTCTAAAAGAAGTCATTTAACAAAAAAAGCTATAAGGCATAATTTATATTAAGTGATAATGTAGTTATGTTAGGTATCATGATTAACATACCTGTTTTTGAGAAAATCTCTAATTTTTTTTGTTTTGTGGAATATTTTTAGATCATGATGCTGGAGATGGAGTTCTGAACCCAGAAGAAGCAAGCATGGTTTCAGAAGAATTAAAATGGGCATCCAGAACTGAACATATGAAATTAAGTGGAAGAGACAGAGAATTAGACAGTTCAGTAAGCAGCTTAAGAACAAAACCAAATCTTCAGAAGCCCTGGGAAGATGGACCAGAATTACCTCCAATTTATAGCTCTTTAGCACCCACTAGTGGGTATTTGTTTAGCACTGAGGATAAAGCAGAAATAGATGAAAATCAGTTTACAAAATCTCATAGTCGACCATCACCCCAAATTCAGCCAGTGGGAAATGTGGGACAGCTTCATGGTGTCACGCCTGTAAAGTTGTGTCGCAAAGAGTTACGTCAGATTTCTGCCTTAGAACTATCATTACGACGTTCCAGTCTTGGAGTTGGGGTTGGATCTATGACTGCTGATTCCATTGAAGTAGCTAGGAAACCGAGTGACTTAAAAACTTAGGCGTTTAATAATAGAACTTTAAATTTAGTAGATGTGTAAGATTCCTTTCTCTAACCTGTTAAAGCTTAGGCTCACTCGCTCTTCCCTCAGGATAAAGGAAGAAGGAGAGGAAGGAATCGCTAATTGTTTGTATACCATAGATGTGTATATCTTCTATAGTATATTTGGGGAGTTTTAATTTGCATTTCCCTAATAACCAAACAAACACGTTTTCCAATACTATCAAGTAATGGAACATTTAAATATTTCCACTTATAAATTTACTTAAATTTTTTTCCAGGTATATTTGAAGAACAAAACTAAGAGTAGAATAATAAACTAAAAAATCCATAAAATGTACATTATTATATAATATAAAAGTATATTATATTGTAAAAGTATGTTATAATACAATAATATGTTTGTATTATTGTTATTCTCAAATACAAGTATATTTTTGTTATTTTAAAAAGATCCAGTTAAATATTGCTTGTGTCAGAAAGAGTCACTTGCTGCATATGTTTTGGCACAGCTGAAAATTTATGCCAAAATGCAGTCTGTGGGCTAAGGCAACTGGCTAGGTTTATGGATTAAAGTTAATTTATGGTCCTCAGAACGCACAGAGTTGAGTGATCAGTTTTGACTTTTTAAACATGGTCTCTGCTCTTTGTCTGGAATTATTTTTAGAATAGTATTGGTTTGTTAATATTTGGGATATATGTTTTCATCTCTTTCCTGCCCTGTCTATTCAACATGTCTCTCAATATGCTACTAAAATTGGGAGAAATGGATGCAGTCCCATGGAAGAGGGAAACGATAGAATAGCACTAAAGCATTCTGACATTTCAAGGAAAAGGTGTCTGGTCACATAGAGTACACCTGTACAGCTTAAAGTCTAGCCAGAGGATCTGATGGGCTTAATCTGAGATTTTTCTCTACAATCTGCTTAGTCAGGACTTGCACACAGACCGGCCAGACACTGGGGCTGTAAATATGTAAATAAACATTTTTCTTCAAGATTTTTTTCGTCCAAACCTTATTATATAATATAAACTTCAGTTTGGAATTAAGAACTAAACGTTGATTTGGCCAACAAGTACAGTTTGGACTTTTTCATCATATTTTTCAATCATAGAAAACATCCCATTATAATGACCAGAGGTATTATTTTGTTACTTATGTTATTTTTGTTACTTTTCTAAACTTGCACTTGTAAAATAAAATTGTTTCTTAAACTGATTAATGTTTGTGGGGGGCAGTAGCCAGACCACCCTGACTTATGGATGCCTACTCAATTAGAGTCACCCACTTCCTTGCTGACTCCTTTTTTTCTTATCTGATGCTGTTACTAATTTTTTTCTTTGGTCCTTTTCTTTGTTGCTATTGACCTTGACCATCTTACCTAAGACTCAAACTATCACCTATGCTCAAAGACTTAAGGTTTTGTTTTTCTAGTTTCTAGCCCCTAGGGAGTAGGGTTCCTCGGTCCCATTGCTCAAAACCAGTTCCTATGGAAGAGAACCAAAACAAAACAAACTTCTAAATTGGTGAATAGTTTCTGTCTCTCTTAAACATGGTACTAAAATTCAGTTAAATTATGGCTTAAATACACTTTGTGGACTTACTTGGGAACTGAACCACAATTTATAACAATGAGAAATTGCTTCAAACAACAAATTTACAAACTAACTTAGAAATTTTATTTTTAACGGACTATTTGAAGTCAGATTCTTTTTTTTAAGCTAGTTTCCTCTTTTGCCTTTGGTTTGTATGATATATATCATATATATCATATATAATGTATAGATATATAAAATGGCAAAAGGCCAGTGCCTTAACAAGGCACAGCAATTATATATTTATTAATAAATACATATTTATTAATGAAGGTCTTACTTGTAAATTCCCTATAAGATTAAGTAATAATTTAGAAATAATTCATAAGAGTGTATTCTGACACTGGAACCTTGCTTGCCTACTCAATTGACACATATTTGTTTTACCTGTGGAAATATAAACACATTTTCTAAAAGGCAGCTTAGTAACAAAGCAAGAAAATTTATATCAAACTAACAATGATTAGATTTGATAATGCAAGTGTGAACTGACTTCTAAATAACAAAGGTACAATTTTTTTGTTTTTGGTTAAACATATATCCTTTGTATGCTATGATGGATTTCATATACATACACAAACACATATACATAAATAATGATAATGTCCTGAGTAATATGTTCTGGAAGTGAACCTCTTGTTAATCTAGTTTAGTCAGTGCCCTCACAAAGGAAAGAAAAATTAAGGTAACTCCCCCAAGGCAAATAAAATTAATTTTTTACACATACTAATAATTAATTTTACTCTTCTGTTTCACATGCTTTACTTAGTCTAAACATTTTGTCATTGTGCTTGCCTTTTTGCATGCATTTAAAATATGTTTGTGGTTTTCTTTTTTTGTTCATTATGGGTTTTTTGCCCACCTCTAACAGCATTTGAAAGGAACCATATTTGCCTCCATACATTACTAGTTCCTTCTCTGTCTCCGGTGTGCTGCAGATAGCAGAGTTGGAGAATTCTGTAAGTTTGGGAGCCATGGGTGGCGAGAGCATCAGTGAAGGTGCTTTTGTGCTTCAGTGTTGGTTTTCTTTTGCTTATGGTTTTGGATTTTTTTTGTCTTTCAATTCTTCATGTCTTCATGAACTCAGGATCCAAGGAATCAGCAAAAATACACATGATCTTCAAGAATATGGACTTTATTGCCACTAACCATTGGTTGTTTGTATTAGTCCAGGTCAATAAAGTGCTAAATGCTTACTTAAGAATGGGTGTCTTATATTAAAAAAAATAATAAAGGTCTTATACTACGTCTTAGAATGAATTGCTAAGGAGTCAAATCCTTAGTGGGAGTTTGATTCTAGAGTCAACACAAATTCTCATGCGTTACATGTAGGTATGACAAGTTTTGTTCTTTCAGTTATTTCTTGAGGTACCTTCTTGTGGCTTTTTAAAACACTGGAGTATCAATATCTGAAAGCTCAGTGTCCACAATTCCTATCTCAACTTCGCTGGAATTTAAAAAAATATTCATTATGTATATTTTACATTTAAAGTTATAACAGGCTGCAGGTTGCCTTCATTGGTACTGATAACACTTTCTTCTACATTTATATTTCCAAAAATTGAAAATAAAGGTGGGAATGAGATCCTTGTGCAATAAATATCTCAGATGCATTGGGTATGTAGTATTTTTGAGCTCATGGACAGTAGTGTTCAAAGTTTGGGGTAGTGGGAGCATCTGCTCAATGGGGAGGAGTACTTTATCACTGTCATTGTTTACCTTGATGCTGACAACAAAAAGCAGACTGACTTTTCATGAGTTTTATTGTTTTTAAATTCTCTGCAGTGTACCCCTTATTCTTGCACCAGGGGCGACTGCTTCCATTCCTTGCTCATGGAATGCAGTGCATATATGGCACCAAATAGTAGAATGATGTTTGATTTTTATAATGACCTTCATGTTGACCCCAACAATATTCCAACATGGAGGTGATTAGAACAAGAGAAATTATAAAAAGAAAGCTCAGAAAAACTTGATTTTATAATATGGGCTTTTGATATTTTGCATAGTTCTTATTTGTCCCTTTTATATGTTTTTTCTAGGAATTTTTGCAATGAATCAGCAGAATTGCCACTATTTGAAATGCTAGCAGTGTAATTTAATTGAACCCAACTATATTGACTTATGCTTAGGTATTAGGTTCTACTGGTAGGTTATTACACACAGCTCTGCTAACTATCTCTTCAGTACTTTAAAAGAAAAATACAACAGTCTCACAGACTTTGTTATAATGAGCAAGATCCCTTTATACCCAAAGAACAAAATCATTCACAACGGAAGAGCAGAAAATCATTTAAACATTTTAAAAATGTGTACAGTCATGCATCACTTAACGATGGGGATACATTAGGATGCATCGTTAGGGGATTTCATTGTTGTGTGAACATCGTAGAGTGTACTTACACGAATCCAGATGGTATAGCTTACTACACACTTAGGCTCTGTGGTACTAATCTCATGGGACCACTGTTGTATATGCACTCTGTCGTTGACCAAAACATCATTATGCAGTGCATGACTGTGTTTATGATTGTTGGAAATTTAAAACTCCACATAGTAAATTTTTAATTTTAAAATTCTACAAGTTAATACTTATTAAAGTAGAACAAAAAATGTATTTTGAAGCAATATTCATATATTGTGTTTTCAAGCTTATTACAGTATATACAAAGCAAGGTGTAATTTTTCAAGTTCAAAATGCTGAATATTGTTAGAATTTATTTGATCTGAGGGGTCTTATTTTTAAAAGAACTACTTCTTGGACCCTGCCCCCTCCCCATTACCAACAACAAATTATAGCTCACTTACCCCTTGCTCTCCGCAATGTTCCAGGACTCAACTCTGATAAGACAAGAGATAAAGAGGTTTGTTTTAAAGCATTCCATAGACCAGCAAAGAATTTTCAAAAATATTTTGAAAGAATTTGTTTTATTTTTCTGGCAACAACACTGAAACTTCAAACTATTAGTACTGAATTTACCATTTGAAAATTTACATCCAAATTTTTATATTGGTTCTTCTTCCTATGATTACTATTAATTCAGGATTATATGAAAAGAAGCCATCCCAGACAGAATTTGAATGGCAATTGTGGAGCCATTCAATAAAGAATTACCAGAAACAGTAGTTTTGGATCAGTTCCAACAGCCATAACATAAGAAGAAAATAGTATTTAAGTGATTTTACCATTGAAGAACCATGAATAGTATGACAAAACAAACATTGGCAAAATTGACAGGATTTATCTTTATAAAACAATGCTTTACCATTTTGCTTAATTTTCCTCTCTGCTAAAACATCCCTGAATTTTTCTACTGAAAAACCTCTGGATAAAAGACTTCCATTCATGATTACAAACCAGCAGCTATTGGCCTACGTTGAGAGGCTGAATTGTTATTCATTTATGTTTGTGGCCTGTAGTGATATTTCACTATCCACCATGAAAAGGACTGGGCAGTTAATCTGAATTTGACTGACTGATCATTTTGATAATTTATAAGTATTAAAATTGTCAAAGCTTTGTTGTTACTTTCTAGTATGATTATTTCAAAAACAGGCAAGGTGTTTATATACTGAGGAGCCAATCTCCTCTTGAAATTCCCATCATCTGTGGTTGGGCAGCATCTGAATTGTTCCATTTAAAGCCTGGAACTAAGCCTATCTGTTTCACTGGACATTTTCCCAGCTAGCACCAGGTGCCACGGGTTCTAAGACATGACCGGAATGACCCAGGTTATAATCATATTAATGGAGTAAATAACGATATTTTCTAAAACACCAAACAGCCTTCCCCCCCCCCAAAAAAACCAATTTATGAATCACTCCCTTGCACTTAAAGTCAAAATCTTATTTTTCAAGTGCAACTCAAAGTAATTATTTAATAAATTAATAGGGAGGGGAAACTGCTATTTTTACCATATGGTAAATATTCTGTTACTTTATCAAATAACATGAAAGCACTTTGAAGACTAAAGCATCATATATGTTTATGATGGAACTATAAGTAGTTTTCCCATAGTTGGCTGTCAAAAATTGGAGAACTTTAGCACAAATGTGGTTGCTTATTTTATATATATCATAAAACATTTTTAAAAAATTCTCAGAGTTTTAGTTATATATGTTAGCAACAGCAGAAATAACAGTATTCCTGAGAAGTTTCATGTGACTTCTATTTTCATAGAAAATATTTTAAAGATTTGGCTGAGTCTATTTTTATAGGCAAAGAAGTGCTTCATGACTATTTCATCAATTTATGAATGAGAGAAAATATTTTTACTGGGTTTTTAACTACCAGTTTTTGGCTATTTGTCACTTATTTCTTTAGTAACAATTACATTTCTGAGTTATTGATGAACTCTGGCTGGAAAATAAACTTTTCTTAAAACTGAGAATGGTTTCTATTTACTAATCACAAAGATGTTTTACAAGCTTTTCTTCCCTCAAGGAAACTAAAACAGTAAGTTAATTTTTTGGTACATGTATAGGTATGTAATTAAATTCACAGCAAGTGACTGAGGTCAGTCTTCGTTTGGCATCTGTTGCTCTTAGCTACTATATACAAGAAGCATATTAGAATTAAATATGACATTACCACGGTGGTCTCTCCTTTAGAAACATTCTGAGGGAAGCTCATTCCTCTCAGTTTTCAAGTTTCTGCCAATGTTAAAGAATATTTTGCCTCTATTTAGATCAAAGCACCCATGACCTGCACAGCCAAGTAATCAAAGAGAAGGCCAAGACTTTAAGAGCAATGGAATCTACAATCATAAGTATTCTAGTGGATTGTGAACAAATAAATCAGAGAGGAAGAATACTAACATACGCTTTCCTGGAAGAGATACCTCCAGTGATACTGAGGTCCTCTCAATAGGTTTATTACAAAGTTCACTATCTCCTATAAGAAGGGAAACTAGATGCAAGGACATGATTATGTGAGTTTAACTGGCCAGGCCACAGCAAACCAAAACACCCTTCAGAACTAGGGCCAGTACCCTGGGGTTTAGTTCTCATATGGGGAAGAATCCATGCCTCTTGAAAAGGGTGAGCTGATAACTAAAGTTACTTGTATTCTGAAAACATCACAAAAATGCCATCTATAGACAACAGTGGGAAATTTCTGTAAATATTTAATTTATAGGCATTTTTTTCCTGTTTAATGTTTTCTATTAACCTTTTATTGGGGATAGAACTGAGACCTAAAAGGCCTATCCCTCAAGGAACTTACATTCCAGTGGTAAGTACTAAAGAGAAAATTAAACAGGGTAGGGAACACAGAATCAAGGATGCTTTTTTCGATGGAAATACTTTTCTGAGCTAGACACACACAAAGCTGTAAAAACAAGACGTAAACTTACTGACTTAAAAACTGCTTTTCAACTGACCTAATGTATGCACACTCAAAGGGGCAAGTATCATACACTGTATCTAAACACAGAAATCACATCCCATCAGTTTCTATGGGAAGGGAAGAGTACTCACTAACCTGCTGAGCCACTGTGTACTTCCACAAACAAGAAGCTGCTCTACATCTACTGCTTTCATCTATACCATTGCTTAGGATCATTCCAACCTTAGGATCACATTTCATTTTTAAAATTTTTAAAATCACACAGTGCACATAAAAAAATTTTACCATCTTAAAGTGCACAATTCAGTAGTTTTTAGTATATTTACTATGTTGTGCAATCATACTAATTCCAGAACATTTTCATCACCCCAAAAAGAAGTTCTGTCTCTATTAGCAATCAGTCCCAATTTCCCCTTTCCCTCATCTCCTGGCAACCACTAATCTACTGTCTATGGAATTGCCTATTCTTGATGTTTCATATCAATGATATCATACAGTGTGTATCCTTCAGTGTCTGGCTTTTTTCTCATAGGATAATGTTTTCAAGGTTCATTTATGTAGCATGTAACAGTATTTCATTCCCTTTTATGGTTGAATAATAATCCATTGTATGGATATACCACATTTTGTTTATCTATTCATGAGTTGATGGACATTTGGATTATTTCCACTTTTGGGCTATTATGAATAACTGTGTTATGGAATGCTATGAACATCTGTGTACAAGTTTTTGTGTGAATATGTTTTCAATTCTCTTGAGTATATACCTAAGAGTGGAATTTTCAGGTCATAAGGTAATTCTACGTTTGACTTTTGGAGAGATTGGCAAACTGTTTTCCACAGCAGCTGCACCATTTTACATTCCCACCGGCAGTATGAGGGTTCCAATAGCTCCACATCTGTGTCAGCACTTGTTATTGTCTGCCTTTTCATTATAGCCATCCTATAGATGTGAAGTGGTTTTGAGTTACAGTTCCCTAATGACTAATGATATTGAGTATTTTTTCATATGTTTATTGGCCATTTGTGTATCTTCTTTGGAGAAACATCTCTTCAAATCCTTTGCCCATTTTAAATGGAGTTATTTGCTTTTCAATGTTGATCTGTAAGAATTCTTTACATATTCTAGATACAAGTCCCTTATCAGATATGTGATTTGCAAATATTTTCTCCCAATCTGTGGGTTTTCTTTTCACTTTTTTGATGGTGTCCTTTGCATTGCAAAAGTTTTTACTTTCGATTAAATCCAATTTATTTTTTTCCTTTGGTTGTTTGTGCTTTACTTGTCATATCTAAGAAACCATTGCCTAATCAAAGATCATGCAGAATACACCTATGTTTTCTTCTATGAGTTTTATAATTTCAGCTCTTACATTTATGTCTTGGGTCCATTTTGAATTAATTTTTGTATATGGTCTGAGGTAGGGGTCCAACTTCATTCTTTTGCATGTGGATATCCAGTTGTTCCAGCACCATTTGTTGAAAAAACTATCTTTTCCTTATTGAGTTCTCTTGGCATCACTTTTGAAAACTAATTGATGATACAAGTTTGGGTTTGTTTCTGGATTCTTGATTCTATTCCACTGGCTTATGTCTGTCTTTATGCCAGTACCACATATCTTGATTACTGTAGCTTTGTAGCAAATTTTGAAATTGGAAGGTGTCAGTCTACCAACTTTGCTCTTCTTTTTCAATATTGTTTTGGCTATTTGGGGTCCCTTAAGTTTCTATATGAATTTTAGGAGCAGCTCATCCATTTCTGCAAAAAACCTGCTGGAAGTTTTATAGGAATTATATTGAATCTGTAGTTCCATTTGGGGAGTATTGCCAACTTAACAATATTAATTCTTCCAATGCATAAACATGGGCTGTCTTTCCATTTATTTCAATCTTCTTTAATTTCTTTTAACCATGTTTTGTAGTTTTCAGTGTACAAGTCTTAGGCTTCTTTGGTTAAATTTATTCCTAAATATTTTATTCCTTTTGAGCTGCTGTGAGTGGACTTAATTTCACTTTCAGATTATTCATTGCTAGTGTAAAGAAACACAACCAATTTTTGTATATTGATCACAATTTGGTTTTGGTGGGTAGTAAATTTGGGTTAGAAACATACCATACCATGAATCAAGGAACTTAAGTAATGTTTACCATACATACAGACTTAAATGAGCAGAAACCCCAGCTTTTTTGTTGTTATTGTTGATAAATTTTTAGCTCCTTATTTTAAGATTATTCCTTCAAGATTTTTATTTTTCTTATTTCTAGGTTAAGGGTGGTAAGAGCATAGAGCACAGCTTAATAATTTGGCATTTGTAGTCTGTAGTCTCAGGTCTTTCACGTGTATTTTTCCTATTTAAGTAAAACACAAAGGGAACAATTCTCAGTACCCCGTCTCTCTGTATCACGAGGACACTTTCTGTATGTCCCTCAATGCTCTATGTTTTAAAGATTAATGGTAATGCAGAGAAAGCTAATTTTTTAAACACATTTCTAT